TTTAAGTCCGATGCCTCGCGAGGGTTGCACCCCGTGGCTTGTGACGATCTCCAACGACTGAGGGGCCCAACCGCCCCGATGATGCACAAAAAAACCCTCTCCCGTTCTCGCTCGAATGCGATTCGCGATCGTGACAACCGGGTTCACCGCGCATCTCGGGATTGATAAGCGCCATACCAGTGCCAGACTACGGTGGCGAGATGTTAACTACCTCGCCTGGTATATAGGAGGTAGTGGGTTCTATCCCGACCCTGATGACTATATATTTTGAGTTTAACTGCTATAAATGTCCACGTGATAACCCGAATTCGTTGTGCTATCATTTGTGGGCAGGTCGTTTCGGAAAAAGAGCTTCATAGCTGAGTGGGCCTTACCTGGTAAAATAGAAATAATTTAGAATTTGTTTGATAGTTTATAGACTCTGCTGAGAACCTGCCTTTGACTGTGGTTTTCATTTTAGTTTACTACACTAACCTTTGGTGAACTGTGGGCTGACAAAAAGGCTCCATCATCATTATTATCATTAGAACTGAAATTTTCTCCCGCACTGCGTCTGTTGTTGTTGTTGTTGTCATTGTGTGCCGCATGTGCAGGTGGTGGGCGTCCCGGAGCAGCGCTGCAGCACGGACGAGATCAAGGAGGTGTTCGTGCAGCAGGGAGCCGAGAACCAGATGGAGCTCCTGGAGTTGCCCGAGCGGAGCGAACTGAAGCAGGTGAACCGTGTGGGCGCAGTCGTGGAAGTGACCGCTTCACTCCGTAGGGGAGGTCATTAAGCATGCGATGATTGACTCTCCTCCCTCCCCTCGTCAAAAACTATTTTATAAACCAGGTAAAGGTGAGCTTTGGCGCTGTTTCACCAAAAATGACCTGGCTATCGTTAGTGATGGCTCGATCATCGCGTGAAAGTTTATAGCAGCCAAACACACGCGGAAAGTACGTCGATTTCTAAATGTGGAGGGAAAAACCGGAGCACCCAGAGAGAAATCTACGCGACCACGGAGAGAGAGAGACACCACAAACTCCAAGTATACAGCAGCAGGCGTCGGGGTCGGGATGGAACCCACGGCCTCCTGCATAACAGACGAGGGAAATAACACTCACTAAGTACACTCACTACGTACACTCACTAAGTACACTCTCTAAGTACACTCACTAAGTACACTCACTAAGTACACTCACACACACCCCTAGCCCCCACCCCAGTCAAATGTCCATATTGACGTGTTGGCGAGCATTTCTTCTCGTCTAACTTTCAGGCACACATACTTCACCAAGGCTCCGTTGAGAACGACGGGGCGAGCAGGTGACGGATGCCAGCGTCATGCGATTGGTTTCGTCAACATGTGGATGTGGTTCGGGGGTTTGAGGCTGAGCGATAACTGTGCGCGTGCTCGTTGTGCGAGCGGGGCAGATCGTCGAGCCGGGAACGCCGTACTTCTACGCGGAGTTTGACAACGGGGAGAAATTGTTCCAGCGCATCAAGTCCCGCTTCCCGCTGCAGTTCGGAAGGTGAATTCCCGCACAACTCTCTCCACCACCTTAACACCTCGGAGCTTCGGGCTACATTTTTTTACGAGTACGGCGCGAAAGAAGTTCAACGTCACGTACGTTCAACGACATAAAGCGGTCGGTTCTCAGACATGTATATTGCGTGAACGTATCACTCCCCACGAGATCGAGTGATTTTCCTCTTAAGATATAGTCGGGTGACGTCTCACTGAACCCCCCGTTTGGCAAGTAACGCTGCAGCGGTTTAATCGTTTCGATACACGCGTAGGATCGCGTGCATTTATCGCTTACTTGACAGAGAAATTAATGAAATGCTCTCGGTACAGCTTGGTCAGTGGGACGAACACAACTTTATAAACGAGATGGAAAAAAACTACGAAAACGGAACATTGCAAGTGAGGTTAGCACAGTTGGCTACGTACGGTGTGAAAGAAGTTCAACATAACGTAACAACATTTTTTTAACACCATAGAGGGTTTTGTGTTCTCGGGGAGTGTCTTGATTCCGCTGTGTGTGCCGCAGGGAGGTGCTGGCCAGTGAAGCCATCCTGAACATGCCGGATCGCGGTGACTGGCGTGCGTGCAAGAGTTCCCGCGAAGAGGAGGAGGGCATGGCCAAGGAGTTCCGCAAGGATTTCCAGCCGTTCGACTTCTCTCTCCTGGAGTAGGAAGGGATGCAGCTCCCTCTGCGACACCTGCGATTGTCCATGGGGACGGCAGGAGAGGCGTGGGGGGGAGTGTGGGTGGTAATATCCGTGTTGCCGGTTGTTGTTCAGTGTGCTCGCGAAAAATCGGAATTTTATTTTCTCTCCCGCTACCGGCGGGTCGAATCATCGGCTGCTCCATCGCAAACCTGTTGGAAAGTAAAACGGATTAACATTTAAAAAGCAATACAAAAAATTTAGGTGTCAACAATAAATGTTTTTATAACCTCATTGACATTGTTTTATCCGTGTTTTAAACTATTTGCTAAACTATTTGTATTTTAACCCCTCCATCGCCGCCCTCGTTCCCAATACACATCCACGTCTCGCACGCCTGGTCCAGGTGACGTCGGTGCCCTTTAACCCTTGACCCCCGTCTCGTGTATTCCCGTGCGTGTGATTGGTGCGTGTTATACTGAGTGCGGAGATTTCCTGTCTGCGTGGGGCGTGTGCGCGAGGGTGGCTCACAGATCCCTGACATGAGTACAGCACACGGGTGTGCCGGAGAGCCCAGCCCCAACATTGACCATCTTGAGTTCTTTGTGTTTACAACGAGCTTCATCAGGCGACAGCCACATCTGGCTCAGATTGTAAATGTTGTGGCTTGGCTCTCCCAACACCCCGGTTAGTGCTGTACTAGTGACGAATTGGCACGTTCTGTTTCCGTGACAACCCTTACTAGTTGGCTGTGTCGGGTGGTGGCGGTTTGAACGACGCATTTATATATTTACGTGTTCTAACCCAAAATCCTGTATTATGGATGATATTGTATTTTACCAGGTAAGACCCACTGAGCTATGTAGCTCTTTTTCAGAAGCCACCTGGCTATCACAAATGATAGCGCACCGAAGTAACTTATCACGTGCTAATTAATGTCAGCCAAATACTCTATAGCGAAGCTATTATTTTTATTTTACCACTTAAGACCTGAGCTCTGTAGCTCCTTTTCAGAAGCGACCTGGCTATCACAAATGGTAGCTCATTTCAGTGGCTTATCACGTGGAAATGTATAGCAGCCAAATTCTCCGTGGTGTTGACATGACGATGTCGTATGATGCCTGTGACCAGTTCACGTGGGGACCGCGCGCTCTCACCAGGTCTCATCAGCTCCGCCCGGTTGACCCTGCATAGTGCTTCTCGGACGGGTTGTCATCGTGCGTGCGGGCTGTGTGTGTGTTGGGCAGCAGCAGATGCCACAATCCATTCCCCTCGATATACGGAACATGGTTCCGAAAAGTTGTCCGTGGAAGCAAAATTCCGCACATCGAGTTGCCGAAGAACGAGGGAACCTGCCTGCGCCAGCGCCCCACTGACCGGCGTGGTGAAGTATGGTCGTGCAGCCGCCACGATCCGCGGCCCAGCTCGAAGCCCGCGTCCTGCTGATGGATTGGCAACAGGCATGTGTACACGCACGTGGTGTTCGTGCTCGCTCAAGAGATTGCACTCGGCTGCAATGACAATGAAGCCGTGCTATGGAACAGCTACGACACACACGACAGCATAATCTAGTCACCAATTAAATATTTCTTATCAAGATGTAGCCATTTTTACAAAAAATGTGTTATCACCATGTTAGATTTTTTTCCATCGCAACAGTTGTCAATTGGAGCAGATGTTGCCTTGCCCCACAGTGAGATGACGTTCTAACTTTACACGTGGCAGAGGAAAGTGCAAACAAATTCAGAGATGTGCAGTGGGACACCTTGCGGGCTATGCGGCATGGATCGTGAGGAGACACGTGCAGGACAAGTGAAATGTGATGTAACGCCAGTGCGTGTGGGCCACGCCTTGCGTTCCCAAGCGTAGTTTGACCATACTGCATTGGGCTGCTGCTCGGCGTACGTTGGTTGAAGGCGGTGCCAAGGACCAGTTGAGATATCACGTGGCCATTGGGGTGAGACGTGGCCTGGAACCCCGTGGAGCTGCGTCCTTCGCTGCAAGGCCCGCGGGCCACTGGCGGCCCCCGACAAGACACAGTGACAACACCACCCCATCATCATCGTGCTGCTGTCAAACCCAACAATGGTTTCAAATGTGGCGGCAGCCCTCATCAACACTGACGATGTCGTATCGGCGACAGTGGCACCCACCCCCCTCTGAAAAAGAGTGAAGAGCACTCGTCTATTGCTTCGGGTCGCTGGGCTCACAGCACAATGAGCTCCCCACCACGCCACCGCTCCCACCCAAGTAACTTAACAGACGCTGCATATTCTGCCGCGGTGGCGAGGAGACGTTATCTCCTTCGCCTTGGTTCGATCCCCGACCCTGACGATGCCTGTTGTATATTTGTAAATCCGCGTGTTCTCTCTCTCTCTGCCCGCGGCGGTCGCGTGGAGTTTTCTCGGGGGGGGTCCCCTCCGCTTTTGCCTCCCACCCTCCACATTTAGGAACAAGGCGCGTTATCGACGAGAGTAGCCACTTCGATAAGCGATCATCACGCGTGGCCAAGGTCGCCTCTGAGAAGAAAAATCGCCAATAACTCGGCAAACTTCGCCGAGACGAATTTTTTTTAGTTCGTTGGGAGCGCGACCCACGTGCATTGTAAAACCGCATGGCTCCTTTCAAGTTGTGCGGCTCCGGCCAGACCGGGCGACTGCCTTGCAACGTGGCGCATTCCCCCTTCGTCTCTCGCGGGGGATGGGGGCTGTGGGGTGCGGGGGGGCCCCGTTTGAGACGAAGCTCTCCGATTGGTTGCACCGCGATTCCTAAAATTCCGAACCGAGCCGCGGTGGCCGCGAGAGAGAGAGAGGGAGGGGGTGGTGGGGGTGGTGGGGGTGGTGGGGGGGTGGTGGTGTTGGGGGGTGGTGGGGGGTGGTGCCGAGGAGGCAAAATCCGCGGCGGAGTTGCCCGCTGCGTGCGTGCGAGAGAGCGGAGGCCGCGTGATCTCGGACGGATCGGACTCGAGCGAGAGACGAGAGGTGAGAGAGACGGGAGACGAGCGAGAGGGGTGAGAGAGGTGAGAGAGGCGAGAGAGAGGGGTGAGAGACGAGCGAGAGAGGTGAGAGAGGCGACGTTTGGCGCACCACTCCGAGTCGTCTCGGTAGCCACTGAAGCCCACGCGTGGCACCCCCTCGCCAGCCAGCGGCGAGCCTCTTCGACACTTTACCGCGGCCACGGAGTGTGCACGTAGCCTGGCACCAGCGCTGCGGTGAAGTCGCCAACACTTGGCGGCTGGCTACGCTGCGCCTGTTTCTTGTTCTTGTTGCGGAGCGGTGAGCGCGCCGCGCTACAAACTCGATTATCTTGAACCGGTCCTGGGCATCCCCTCGGTCGACTCGGCCTCAAATGAGTACAGTGCCTGGTGCGGCGTGTTTGCATCGCCACGGGGGAGACAAAGGCGGCCGGACGTGGTAGTGGCCACCCGCCCATCATCGGTGCTGCTCGCGAGTGGCGAGCACTTGCCCCGACAGTCCGTTGAGGCTACACCTGGAGCGGGGGGGGCCACTTTGTCTTTGTTGTCGTGAGCGTCGCTCTTCGCCGTCAGATCTTTGCCGACGGCGGCGAATTCGCCCTCCAGCTCCCCCCCCACCCATCGGGAAAGTCCCATGGGGGCGAAGTTGTTGGTGCGTCGTCGGTGGCTTCTGCTGATGCAAGTCGGGGGCAATCTCCCCGCTGGCGGCAGCCGAGGGCGCGGGGAGCGAGACGGTCGCCGGGCGGATTGAAACAAACGCCGCTCATCCTGCTTGGCCACAGTGTGTGGCAAAGCCGTAATTATAATATACATTGGGGGGGGACACGTGCCGTTCCCCCCAATATTCAAATATGCTCAAAATGCCCCCCCCTCCAATATATTGCTATAAAATAGATTTCTGTGTATATGATTGTGGTTATGGTTGAACTTTTTTAATCCCTATTCTCTGCCATTACATACAATGAAACAAGAAAAGGTAAAAAAAGATAAAACAGCAATGTAATACAATACACTATTAGACATTATTGTTAAAAAGAAAGAAAAAGTATGTTATGTAAGCGTGGGATGATCCAAACAATATCATCGCGGCAAGGGGGGGGGCAATCGCCTGCTTGCGAGTGTCACCACAGCGGCCCCTGGCGACCTGCCCTGTCGCCCACGTGGCTTCGTGCGTGCGAGTGGAACGCGTTTGGGACCACAACTGCGTTTGTGCGAGCCCCCAGTGGTCGAGGTTTGTTCCCGCTGTGTCTCTGTGGGACGCAAAAAGAGCTTCTTTAGCTCAGTGGACCTCATCAGAATAAATAAGTAAACGGAATGAGCTGACGTGGTCTCTTCGTGCTGACCCTCACTGAACGTGGTCTCTTTTCGCTGCGTTCACTGCATCCGGTGATGGCGATGAGCCGCTTCTCGTTGGGCTGCCATCTGTGGTGTCCTGGTCGCTTCGAAAAAATGAGTTGCACAGCTCAGTGGGGCCTTACCGGGTAAAATAAAACAAATATTTTATTGTGTTTAACCAGGTGGGAACTCCAGATGCCAGGGTGTGAAAAATAGCTTCATTGCTTGTGCCAGGCTAGGTGCGCTCCAGTCTAAGTCTTTAACACGTAGGATTTCGCGACCAATAGTATCCATAATAGAGGGTTTTTGTTTAGATCGCGTAAATATATAAATGTGTCGTTAAACCCGCCACCACCCGGCACAGCCAACTAGTAAGGTTTAGTGTCACGTCAACAGAACGTGCCAATTCGTCACTAGTACAGCACTAGTGTATAGTGTAGTGTATAGTAGTGTAGTATATAGTTGTGTAGTGTATAGTGTAGTGTACTACTACAGCAACACCGGTGTGTTGGAGAGCAAATCCACAACATTCACAATCTGAGTACGACGTTTCGCCAGCAATTACAACCGGCATCACCAGGCCAGAGTTGCATCCCAAAAAACCTCCACGGATTCCGATTCTCATCCCAAAAAACCTCCATCACGGATTCCGATTCTCATCCCAAAAAACCTCCATCACGGATTCCGATTCTCATCCCAAAAAACCTCCATCACGGATTCCGATTCTCATCCCAAACAACCTCCATCACGGATTCCGATTTTCATCCCAAACAACCTCCATCACGGATTCCGATTCTCGTCTCGCGGCAGCACGATGGCGCGACTGCCCATCCCCGCCACCCTCGCCGCCCTCGCCGCCGCGTGCCTCCTGGCCACGCTGGCCCCGCCGGCGGCGCTGGCGGTGCCGGCGCTGGAGAAGCTGTCACGGCGCGAGCAGTCCCTGGGGGAGCGGCCGCTGGACAGCGACGTGGTGCACGGCCTGCAGTACGACCACGAGGCGTTCCTGGGCGTGGAGGAGGCGCGCACCTTCGACCAGCTCACGCCCGACGAGAGCCGCCACCGCTTGGGGTAACCCGCGGGGTCCAGACCCCCCACCCCCTCCCCCGACCCCTGACCATGCCTGCTGTGTGTGTATGTTGAACTTTTTTCGCGCCGTAATAGAGTATAGGGGATTTTTTTGGGGTTAGATCGCGTAAGTATAAATTGTCGTTAAACCCGCCACCACCCGACAGCCAGTTGGTAATGTTTGTCATGTGAACAGAACGTGCCAATTCGTTACTAGTACAGCGCACCGGTGCGTTGGAGAGCAAATCCACAACGTTTACAATCTGAGCACGACGTTTCGCCTGTAATTACAAGTAGCAAGTAGCATCAACAGCCAGATTTGTGGAGAAATCCTCCTGTTTCGTTCCTTAAATAGAGGGATAGATGTGATGACGTCACTTGTGAGCAGTTCACGTGTGAAGGAGGGTGGGGTTCATGAATGTATATAAATTACAATTGGTATCCATTGCTGTACGTAGCCATCATTTCGCACCATACGTAGCCAACCGTGTTAATCGGGGGTGCAGTTCGAAGGAAAACAACATGTATAAGTTCACTTGGAGTTGCGTGTCTCTCTTTCTCTCCCCATGGTCACGTGGATTGTCATCCGGGTCCTCTGGTCTTTCCCTCCAGAATTAAACACGCGCTCAGGTCGCTTCTAAAAAGATGAGCTACATAGCTCAGTGGGCCTTACCTGTAACTACTGGCGAAGCATAAAACTTGAATTGTAAATGTTGTGAGTTTACTCTCCAACACACCGGTGTGCTGTACGAGTTACGAATTGGCACGTTCTGTTTACTTACTAATTGGCTGTGTCGGGTGGTGGCGGGTTTATCGACACATTTATATTTACGCGACCTAACCCAAAACACCTATATTGTAGTTCCTACCTGGTCAAATACAAGTTTTAGGTTTTTATCTTTGCCATTTGTGTGCCGTATGCCCCGGATAAATTCAAACCGCAATGCACGAACGAATGAACGTGCAAACGCACAAACGAATGAACAGTACAAACGAATGAATTAATGAACGTACGAAGGAATGAACATATGAAGGAATGAACGTACGAACACACGAACGAATGAACGTACGAAGGAATGAGCGTACGAACGCGTCTTGCGCGGCGGCAGGAACATCGTGGGGCGCGTGGACAGCAACGGCGACGGCTTCGTGACGGGCGCGGAGCTGCGCGCGTGGATCGAGCACACGCACACGCGGCACGCGGGCGAGCGCGCCGGCCAGCGCCACCGGGAGTACGACGTCAACGGGGACGGCCTCGTGTCCTGGCAGGAATACCGCAACACCTCCTACGGCAACACCCTGGGTAACAGCCCGGCGGCGCTCTGCCCCACGTCCGCGTGCGTGGGAGGGGTTTTTGTGTGATGCTGAAACTGATTCGTAGAGGGCAATGGGGGGGAGGGGGGGCGTGGGGATTGGGCGGGGGGGTGGAAGGATGCCCACGTGATCATCCTAGAGTGTCAGTAGGATGCCCACGTGATCATCCTTAGAGTGGCAGTAGGATGCCCGTGTGAGCATCTTACTGCCACTCTAGGATGCCCACGAGAGCATCCGAGAGGAACGGACAGATGAATCCGGATGCGGTGGCTACGGCGAAAAGAGTCGACGTTCAGCGATTGTGCGACACAAGGAGACCACGCGGCCGCCGCCGGTCGCTCAGCTGCCGTGCCGTTCTCTCTCGCGCGTAGACCCGGAGGGCGCGGCGCTGTTCCACGTGCAGGAGGGCGACCTGGCCACCTACCGCCACATGCTGCAGCGCGACGAGCGCCGGTTCCGCGTGGCCGACCGCGACGGGGACATGGCGGCCACGGTGGAGGAGCTCACGGCCTTCATGCACCCCGAGGACTTCACGCACATGGAGAGCGTCGTTGTCATGGTGGGGGGGGGGGGGGGGGGTGTACATACACGCACATACACTCGCACGTACGTGCGCGCGCACACACGCGCATTCACACGTATACAGCCGAACCTCTGATTAGTACGGTTGGCTATGTACAGTGCGAAAGAAGTTCAACATACAAAGGCCTGAACAGACTGTTGGGGCAAGTGCTGTTAGCGAGTAGCACCTACGAAGGCCGGCACGGCGCACGAGGGAGTGGGTGGCCAGAACCACGCCCGGCCGTCTTTGTCTCCCCGGTGGCGATGTTTACACACACCGCTACACCAGCTACTCACTTGAGGCAGGAGTCGGCCATGAGCGGGAATCGAACGCAGGTCGCCGGGTTCGTAGCGCAGCACCCTTACTGCTACACTGCACACACACACGTGGATGCGTGTGCTCCCGCACACATACTCTATATATTTTTTATTTTACCAGGTAGGGCCCACTAGAGCTACTGTATGTAGCTCTTTTTCAGAAGCGACTTGGCCACAAATGATAGCCCAGCAAAGTGGTTCATCGCGTGTAAATTGATAGCAGCCACATACTCTAGACATGCGACTCTTAAAAACCGGAGGACCTGCAGAAAAAATCCACACAACCGCAGGGCGAGAGACATGCAAACTCCCACCATATAACAGACGTCAACAACAACAACCGCCATTCGCCACTAAGTGGCGGTGACGTCACCACAACGCTTGTGCCAGGCCATGTGCACCTTGAGGCCACAGACGTCATACATGTGTGCACCTGCGGTTGACTGTCGCATCGGGAGACCCTGGAGAAATGAGTGGCTGTGTCACTGTCTTATCAGGAGACAATGGAGGACCTGGACAAGGACGGCGATGGTGCCATCAGCTTGGACGAGTACATTGGTAAGTGAGTACATTGGTAAGTGTGTACATTGGTAAGTGTGTACATTGGTAAGTGAGTACATTGGTAAGTGTGTACATTGGTAAGTGGGTACATTGGTAAGTGAGTACATTGGTAAGTGAGTACATTGGTAAGTGTGCTCAGCAGCGAGTGGCACCGATGAAGGCCGGCACGGCACGTGAGGGGGTGGTTCACCGGCACTACTCCAGATTCAGATAATCGTCGCTGGTGTTGGCCGTGAGCGTGACTCGAACCCGGATCGCCAGCTTCGTAGCGCAGCGCGCTAACCACTACGCCGCCACTCATACAAGACAAAGGTCCCCCGTATAGCCTGTAACAGACTGTTGGGGCAAGTGCAGTTAGTGAGCAGGACTTATGAAGGCCAGTAAAGCACACGAAGGGGGTGGGTGGCCAGCAACCACGCCCGACCGCCTTTGTCTCCCCAGTGCTGATATTTTACACACCGCACCAGGTACTAATTTGAGGCTGAGTCGACCTAGGGGAGGCCCAAGACCGGTTGAGGTAATCATCGCTGGTGTTGGCCATGCGTGGGAGTCGAACTCGGCTCGCCGGATTCGTAGTGCAGCGCGCTAACCACTACACTACCACACACCCCACACATCACACACCACACACAAATACGTACCTGTCTCTACACACACATCTCTCTTCACCGACCGCTCCCCATCGCTTCACCCCCCCCCCCCTCCGGCAGGTGACATCATGGGCCGGGGCGGGGAGGCCCTGTCCCCCGGGAGCCCGAGCCCGAGTGGGTACAGACGGAGCGCCACCAGTTCACCGACTTCCGCGACACGGACCGCGACGGCAAGCTGAGCTACGACGAGGTGCGCCGCTGGGTGCTGCCGCCGCCCGACTACAACCACGCGGAGGCCGAGGCGCGGCACCTCAGTCTACGAGGCCGATCGCAACCGGGTACGCGTGGGGCACGCTTCGCACGCTCGCTCGTTGGCAGCACGCAGGCGCCTGCGCGGGCGTGAAGGTCAAATGCGCGGCGCTGCAACTTGTGGCTTTGCGCCGCTGCTGGCGGGGAAGGCCTCAGCTGTACGGAGCTCTGGGGAGCTCCTCCTCATGGGGGAGCTCCTCCTCATGGGGGAGCTCCTCCTCATGGGGGAGCTCCCTCATGGGGGAGCTCCTCCTCATGGGGGAGCTCCTCCCCAGATCCTCCACGCAGGCCAGACGTGACCTGCCGATCCACCAACGGCGGCGTTTACTTTTATACTGCTGGATCGACAGAGATGGGGGGGGGGGGAATTTGAGAAACTTTTGGTTGTATGTATGTTGAACTTCTTTAGCGCCATACGTAGCCAACCGTGCTCAGCAAATATCCCCACGGAAGAGAGAATCGAACTGGCGACCTCAGGATCGCAAGTCCAGTGCGCTCACCATCTTATCCCACCCGTCTTGCGGTCTCCCTCATTCCATTTTGTTGTTGTTGTTGTGCTGTGGGGCAGGATGGGAAGTTGACGAAGGAGGAGATCCTGGAGGCCTGGAGCCTGTTTGTGGGCAGCCAGGCGACCAATTACGGCGAAGACCTCAACAAGCACCACGACGAACTTTAGCGGTGGGGGGCGCCCTCCCGCCCCCCTCCTCGCCGCTTCACTCACCACCGCTCCTCTGCTCTCTGACCCCACTGGCTTCATCCGCCCATCGCCGACGCTTCCAGCCCGAGGCAATCGGCATGTGGCGGGCGGAGGTTGCCGCGCTTTTCTGTAGTGGAAGCAGCAACAGCAGCAACAGCAGGAGCCACGCCAGCCTCTGAACGCGTGAATAGTGCCGTGAAAAATCTCTCCCGTGTGAAAAACATCCGGCTCGGCTCGTGGGTGGTAGCTTTGAATAAATCGGTGGCACTAAACGAGAAGAAATTCAACGTCGCCTTCACCCAGAGAGATTTTTTGTTACACCCTAGGTCAGCCATGCGGCAAAGCGTACGGACGCGTCTTGTCTCGTAATGTATAGGGTTGTCACAATATGAGCGATACTACAATATATATCGTACCATGTAACGTTCATGACTATCATATCATTGTTGCTAAATCTCGTATCAGGATCATCGTTAGGTCATTTTACATTTGTTTACGGATGTCATTCTTCACGAGGGATTTACAACTTAATGAGCACAGTTGTTAAAGTTCTACATAGTGACGATCCATTCAAAGTGCTTTACAATAATTTTTCAGAGTGATTGATGGCATGGCGGTTTCATGACACGATGTTTATATTTCATTTAAATATTTCTCGTGTAACTCACAGAATGTGCTTTATAAGCATCGTATATTGTGAAGTTACATTGATGAGAATAATTGTGACTGGCTTATGTTCAGCCAACTGCAGCCGATGAACTTTTTAAGTCATCTGGGTCCGTACCGGATGTACATACAGTAAAGCACAATAACAAGATGGTAATGCAAAACACAACTGTTCTTGTGCTAAAGAGATATTGCCATGATGGTTACATCCTCAAAGAGCACCGTATATTGTATCGTATTGAGAACTGATATCGTGGCAGTCCTGTCCACGTAGCGACTTTGTGCGAGGTGAGGAAGTTTCGCGCACGGAGTGGTGGGGTCGTGGTTTTGTTTGCGTAAGTTATTGCATGCCGCTGCTTCTTTGACAAGAAATAATCGCTTCTTGTGCGGTACGTTACTCTCAGGAGGCTGAGTATTTGACCGGTGGATTCCGACCTTTGTGGATCCGCAGAACTGTGGCAACCCTCACATTTTTTGCAAGCGTGCAGTAACAAAATCCGGTGTTGTGAGGAATATAAATATGTTTATACAATCTCCTCACAGATTTGGAAACCACTTCCCATGGCCAGCCACAGACCACCGGGTGGTCCACCGACCGGATTGGGAACCACTGGGAACCACTGCCAGAGAACAGCAGGATGCATTTGCAATCTCGGCAGCCGGGGGGGGGGGGGGGGGGGGGTAAATGCGCCTCAGTGAGAATGAAGAGACTCAGATTGCAACAAGGCTTCAAAGATACAGCAGCAGGTTTCAGGATCGAGATCGAGCCCACGACCTCCTGTAGACCAGGCGAGGTAGTGAACATCTCCTAGCCACCGTGATGATGATGAGAGAGACGCAAACTCCACATATACAGCAGGACCGAGCCCACGACCTCCTGTAGACCAGGCGAGGTAGTGAACATCTCCTAGCCACCGTGATGATGATGAGAGAGACACGCAAACTCCACATATACAGCAGGACCGAGCCCACGACCTCCTGTAGACCCGGCGAGGTAGTGAACATCTCCTAGCCACCGTGATGATGATGAGAGAGACACGCAAACTCCACATATACAGCAGGACCGAGCCCACGACCTCCTGTAGACCCGGCGAGGTAGTGAACATCTCCTAGCCACCGTGGCGACCCGATAGCGACGTGTCTAGACGTCACAATGCAAATGTCGGTCGGTTTGGACCATACACATATATATAGTTAATGTTGGTAGGATAACTTTACAATGAATCTGATTCTTATTTCTAGATGACACAAGAGCTCCCCGCAGTGTAACGTATTGCATCCCAGTAGTGTTTAGTGGCTAACTTGGATTTTATCTTTAGATGTACTGTATGCTGTTTTTTAAACTCAAGAACCATCATTATATTGGCATGAAGCAACTCGAGTGTTTATATGCAAGTTAAATATCTGGTATTTTTACGAATAAAATAATTTCCAAGAAAGCTGTGATTTGTTTATTGGGAAATTACGATGTCAACAACAATATGTCCACAAACACGAGGAAAAGGAGGGGCGGGGCGAGGAGATAATCACCCCCCACACACTGCTAGGCCCCGCCCACTCCCCTCCAGGCCACGCCCATTACCCGATAGGCCCCGCCCATTCTCCTCCAAGTCCCGCACATTCCCCTCCAGGCCCCGCCCATTACCCGATAGGCCCGTCAATTCCCCTCCAGGCCCCGCCCATTCTCTTCCAGGTCCCGCCCATTGCCCTCCAGCCCCCGCCCATTCCCCTCAGGCTCCGCCCATTCCCCTTTAGGCCACGCCCCACACCTCGAGGCCCCTCCCGCTCCCTGCAAAGCCCCGCCTCTACTTCTAGACGCCCCGCCTCCTATTTCTAGACCCCGCCCCTTCCCCATCGAAGCCCCGCCCCTTCCCCATTGACCCCCGTCATGGCGGAGCGGCGTGCTGCTGCTGCTGAAGCTGAACCCGGTAGCCGGGACCGGCGTGCGCGGTCCTCGTCCCTCTCCTCCTCCTCCTCGTCCGGGCTCCTCGCCGCAGCCGCCTTCTGCTGCTGCCTCGCGCTGCTGCTGCTGCCCGGCGTGGCCGTGGCCAGGAAGGTGCGGATGGGATGGCGGAGCCAATCGAGGCGCTTTAGCCCCCGCCGTGAGGGGCTGGAGGGGTGGTCGTGGCGAACCCCCTCGCCGGGCTGTGCACACAGAGACAAAGACCCCAACCCCCCGTAGCGTAGCCTGGCGTCCTAGCCTGGTGGGGCAAGGTGCTGTGAGCGAGCCCCGGCGGCAGCGGCACAGGGGAAGGCCGCGGGCACGCGGCAGGCCGCGTTGGTGAGCCCGCGTGGCTTGGCGTGGCAGGCGGGACGAGGGGAGGCCCCCCCAGGGCCCCAGGGCCTCGTCTCGTCCCGGGGAGTCTGCGGGGCTCACAGGCGGCTGCTCGCAGCGTGCGTTGAACTTCTTTCGCGCCGTACGTGGCCTAGCGGTGGTGGGGGGGGGGGCAGCAAACTAAACACACCAGCGGCAGCTCTCTAGAGAACTGAGGCTGCAGTCTCGATTTAGAGTGAGATACTGAACGTCAGGATTGTGGTCAGGAGCAGAGATTACGGGGGAAGGAACGCACCTGAGCTATGAGGCCCGAGAAAGCGTTTTGGTATGTGGCGATACCCATCACAATACCCATCACAATGTCCATCACAATGTCCATCACAATACCCATCACAATGTCCATCACAATGTCCATCACGATACCCATCATCATGATATCTACCACGATACCCACCACGATACCCATCACAATCTTAATTTTGGAGCTTTCCTGACTGCAGGAATTACTCTTTGGTTCTTTCGGTAAAGTCACGTATAAGTCACGTATACGTGACTTTACCGAAAGAACCAAAGAGTACCCATCACAATGTCCATCATGATACCATCACAATGGCCATCATGATACCATCACAATGGCCATCACGATACCCATCACGATATCTACCACGATACCCACCGTGATACCCACCACGATGCCTGCTCCCCCTTGTCCTGTGTGGCACCTGGGTAGGGATCAGCCGTCATTGTAACCCACCTGGTCCCTAAACTAAACATCAATTACCTTCAGTTGACCGTGGGAGTGACGTCAAACGTGGTTATTCCTCACATTCTTCAAAGTGAAGGATTCATACTCTTAGGTTTTTTCGGTAAAGTCACGTAGGTAAAAAATAACAATAGAAATAAAATAATGTACTGTAATTGATTTATTTTCATTTATTATAATTTTATTTCAAATCTAAAGTGAAGGATGTTTTCTGTCTCTTAGCAACATTTACAAAACATTGTTTTTTAACCAAATGTGGTTCCTTGCGTACTGCCGGCGGCATCCCCCGTAACCGAGACCAAACAATCCCCTTGGTGGAATATGAAGAGCGGTGCGTGGCATGCGCCACCCAAAGAGATTTGTGGCTGGACTCTGTTGATAAATCCTCGAACGTGGCATCATCATCACTACTACTACACGCTTTCATTTAACTCTGTTGTTGTTGTATCCTCAAATCTTGTAACTCAATTTTAGCCCACTTCCCAATGTGGTATCGACTGAAAACTTGGTATACTTATGTCATACTGATGACAATACTATATTCTATCATACAAAATATATAATTTTAAACATTCTTTTTTAGAGGTTAGATGTTTCGGCTTGGGTCTAATTGTCCACGCTCAACTGACAGTTGGCTGTAATTGGCCACGGTCCTTTACGTTGTGGCAAGTTTCGGGGCCACTTCCTGGAGTCGTGGAGTTCTGCCATTACTAGTAAATTTCATGAAAGCGTGTTTTTAAGAAAAGTAAAAAAATATGACTTATTTTGATGCTTGGCACAGTCGAGGGCGGCACCCGTTCCTCTCCGCCGCGTCACGGTGCCACCGCCTCGCAAAGAGAGTCGAGCATGAGAACCAAATCGATGTGGGGGGGAGGGGTGTTGTTTCTTATTCATCAGAGGTGGAATTTAGCAAAATGAAGTGCAACACCAAATTCAATTCTGATCGGTGTTTGTGTGTGCAGTCGCTGAACAGCGGGGCCGATCCCATGAACTCCCTCTGAGAACCCCCTTTAATCGAATTGTTTATCGTATTATATTGCGTTGGCTTTATTAAATTGTATTGTTTATTGCATTTATTGTATTGCAGTGTTTATTTTATTGTTTATTATATTGTATTGGCCATTTTTTTTTTACATTTGAGAAACTGCCTTAGTCCTCACGAAGCAACCCGTTATTTGAAATGGGTAAATGAGCAGTGATCGAGTGGTGGTCTAACAGAGGTCATGGTGAGCGTGTTCACTCTGTTCACCGCTTGGTGGTCTAACAGGGGTCATTGTGAGCGTGTTCACTCTGTCTTCACCGCTTGGTGGTCTCACAGGGGTCACGGCGAGCGTGTTCACTCTGTTCACCGCTTGGTGGTCTAACAGGGGTCATGGCGAGCGTGTTCACTCTGTTCACCGCTGCCCTAACGCGAGTTGGCAATTCTTAGAGTTGACTGAGCGACCAGTAGGTGGCAAGCATGGACCGGCGAATCAAGTTCTGCCGTGGGTGCGAGACCTTTCCTTTGTTTGCTCACCCCTCTGCCGTGTCACCTTCTCCACCGCCGTGTTCGCAGGCAGGCGATGGCATCGAGGTTGAGAACGGGGTGGTGAGCATCCCCCTGGAACACTCCTTTGAAGTTGGTGAGGCTCATCGCACACCGTCGGTCGCTTCCATGAGCGAGTGAGCGTCGACATTTGCCGGTCACCACACCAAGCTGGGGTTCTGTGGCTTTGGCCAGCTCTGTGTGGTTGTGAATTGCTTCCGTTCCTTTTTTGTGAACCGATGTGATTCTTTGTGCATTCCCCATGCATTGTGCGTCCCATATTGATCTTCTTTCACTGCCCTGTATCGTGTCCTGCCTGTATGCCTTCTGCATTCCGTGTCTGTTACCCCTCATGTCTTACTTCTCACATGCTTTGTCTTCTGTGTCCTGTTTCTCGTGTGCCGTGTCCTAATTCTCCGCCCCATGGCCCCAGTGTCTCCCAGTGTCTCTTGTTGTACGCGATGGCCAACGTTTCGCACCTGAGCCTCTCCCTTGATCCACATTCTCCCGTGTGCGGTGGTCCCTCGGGAAGGAGGGGGGGGGTGCTCATTACACTGCACGTTCCCCAGTGCCACGGCTGAGCGGCACCGCCACTTGTTGCAGGGAGGTTCGCAACTCCACCTCTGGGGTCACCGTGGTCAAGGCTGCGGGTGTATTAACCGTAAAAAGTTATATATACAAGCACCGTCTGATTCATGGTGGACGCAAAAGATCCTGTGACATTAAAAAGAAGAGTGGCCCACGTCGTACGCCGATGTCACGATAACATTTTTAAAGATTACCCGCGGATTTTTACTTTGATCGTGAAAACCACCTGATCACGTCACGCCTTGGCTGGAAAATTTTACTCCACGCGTAGCCGAGTGCTGCGGGCACCTTGTCAACAACGCGTTGGGGGCGGTTGCCGCTGGGGTTCCCCTCGGTTAGACTGCTGTCGGGCAACGGAATGGTCGACGTGAGTTGCGATGTAAGGTGCTGTGAGTTTGCTGATGCGTGTTAGCAAGTGCCCGCTATGAAGGCAAGATCGTTTCCGTCCCCCCCTCCCCTGTCGCTGTCGCCGTGCGAGTGTAGACGGCTCGGTGCAGTTCCGACGACGCGGGACGGTGATTTGGCGTCCGCAGCGTGAGCACGCGGTTTCCATCTCCCAGCCGCCCTTCAGCGATGACGAGAGGAACAAACTACGGGTGATGCAACCAATGCAGCTACCGCAACCAATGCAACTACCGCAACCAACGCAACTACCGCAACCAACGCAACTACCGCAACCAACGCAACCACCATATAAGCGGACAGTCAGTCAACTAATATCCCGATAAACTGAAAACCAGTTAAACAGTAAACAAATATCCAGATACACTGAAAACCAGATAAACAGACAATCATATCACCAAATATCCAGATAGCCTAAAACCAGATAAACTGCAAACCAGACAAACATATGAACATTTTTTCTAAATATGCACATGTAAAAATAGGTAAACAGACAGCAATTTAAATATACAGCCAGATAAATAGACAAGATACATGCACACTCTGATAAACTCTCATTAATGTAAACATGTTCAGTGGGTAGCGTCGTGTAACAAGTACTGGGACAGGTGCTGCGACGACTGCCATTTAACGCCTGCCCGACACACTTACCGTTCCGTCTGCTGCGTATCGTATCGTATCCCAATCGCCGTAACCTTTTGCGCTGTGCGGTCTTCAGGAAGTGGCGGAGGTGGATGGTCTGTACCGGATCCGTCTGCCCATCCCCATGGGAGGAGACGGGAGCTCGACAGAGTACGTCTTCACATTCGTGAGAGCCGTGAGTACCCCCCAATGTAACTCCCAATAAGCTCTACCTTTGTCTCCTGTGATAGCAAATTTTTACTTGGAAGACTTTGAAACAAAAGTAATAGCTACACTATGGGAACCTCATTTGCCAGTAAAAATATGATAATTGGTTTTTTACCCTTCTATCTGGCAACAAAACTGACACCTTTTTACAAGGAGTCATGTTTGCATAGACCGCAATACCAACCCATGTGAGACTAGGCTCTAAGGAAAGCTGTCTCGGGTGTGGACCAATCAACTTCAAGGACAGTGCATATTATCAGAGTTATGTTTTTAATTTGCATTATGACTGCAGGTATTGTGGTCTATGCAAACATGACTCCTTGTAAAAAGGTGTCAGTTTTGTTGCCAGATAGAAGGGTAAAAAACCAATTATCAAAAGTAATAGCTTCAAGCACACTAGAACCATCTGCTTGGTTTGGATATGTGGATGACACATTGGTGGTCTGGCCACACGGCAAAGATACACTGAACGCATTTCTAAATCATCTCAACTCGCAAAACCCATCCATCCAGTTTGCCATGGAAGTGGAAGCTGACAGAAGTCTACCATTTGTGGATATTCTGCTCGGACGGGGTAGAAATGGTAAAATAACACACACAGTGTTTACCGAAATCGCATACTGATGCTCTTATCAAGACGCTCATTCATCGAGCTAAGAAAGTGTCAGATGGTGACAGTCTGAGAAGTGAAATTAAACATGTTAAAGAAGCGCTGTAAATGAACGGTTACAATGATACACAAATCAACAGGGCATTGAATGCCAAAACCAAATCAAATAACACGAGCATTGAAACTGCCCAAGTAATTAAAACGATAAAAGTACCGTACATTGCGGGAGTAACTGATAATCTAGCCAGGTGTTTTGAAAACAAAACATCCGAGTCAGATTTGGCATGGTACATAAAATACAGAAATTAATATCTGGTACAAAAGATGTATTACCGTAGCTATCAACAGAAGGTGTGTACAGGATTCACTGCACGTGTGGTAAATGTTATGTTGGGCAAACAGGACGAATGATCAGCACGAGACTAAAAGAACTTCAGAGAAATATTACATTCTCCCAAATGCAACTGTCAGCAGTAGCAGAACACGCGTGCCAACAAGGACACTCAATTGATTTTGATAATGTTGAAGTTTTGTGCAAAACTAGCTACGACTGGCCAAGACTAATTAGATAATCTATCGAAATTGAAAGAAATAAAAATAATTTTCTCCGGATAGCTACTGCCTTGGTGTTGTGTGGAAGCGAATAATCAAATAATACATTATTTAAATGCATGCCTATAAAGGGCAGCGTACTTCAATAGGGATTACCGTTGGTAGGGCTATTTTAATACACACAATAGACAGGAAGGACAAGATCAAAGGGCCTGCATAATGCATAATGTACGTCGACTCGGTAATCCCGCCCCCACTTTGCGCAAGAGCGCAGAAGCATGGTCACCACATCTACGCCTCTATATAAGGATCGAAACAGGTGGACTTCTCCACAAACCTGGCTGTCGCCTGATGAAGCTGGTTGTAATTACTGGCGAAACGTCGTACTCAGATTATCAATGTTGTGGCTTGGCTCTCCAACACACCGGTGTGCTGTACTAGTGACGAATTGGCTACGTTCTGTTTACGCGACAACCCTTACTAGTTGGCTGTGTCGGGTGGTGCCGGGTTTAACGACACATTTATACATCTTCTTGGTTCTTTCGGTAAAGTCACGAAGAAGGAAAATAATAAAATAAAATAAATAAAACATAATAAAATAATTCTCACGACGTTTCGGCCACAACGCAAGCAGCCGTCTTCAGGTGGAGAACAGGTCTGTCGAGAAGGCAGAGTCTGAAACATTTACGCGATCTAACCCAAAGAACCTGTATTGTGGATGATATTGGTCGCGAAAGCCTACGTGTTAAAGAGTTTCACAGCTCATCGGATTCCTCCCGCAGTCTGAATGATCATTCCGTTGTGTGCGCCGTGCGCCTGTGGTGCCCAGTGCGCCCTGCTGGAGGCCCAGCTGTCGGACTTGCTCACACTGCACCTGGACGCGGTGGGCGCCATCGCTGGCATCTCCCTCGAGGTGGTGCCCGGCGGTTGCCACGGCTACGAGGTCGAGGACGTGGACCTGGAGAACTTCAACACGACCTTGACCGTGACGACGCCGGTCGTCCTGCTAGGGTGAGCGTTCTCTCCCCCCACCCCCTGCAGAGAGAGGTGCACAACAGCGGAGAAACGGTGACCCCCACATATGCACAACACATTTTTTTTGACATTCGCTCGATTGTCCTTCCGGACCATTGTACAGCAGCATTTGTTTAATGAAGCGAAACTCTGGGCCGATGTTGCGACGACGGTGTCACGCGCGCTCATGGTGACGATGGTGATATTGTGTTGTCGCCAGACCGGAGACCGCGTCGTACATACAGCGCCTGGAGCAGGAGCAGGCGCAGAGGACCAAGAACCCACAGGAGCAGAAGTCGTTCTTTGCCAAATACGTGAGATGCAAACGCACGTGGACACGCACGCACCCCTGCCTCCATGCTCCGCCGTTCGGGAAATGTTCCGGTCCACATTTTAAACATAATCCAAGTTGATTGCCGGAGCTACAAACTAGAAAGAATGTTGAATGCAATTGTATGTAAAGTATAACACTTGGCATGGCATGAGTTGCGTGACGATAGGGTCTCTAGGAGTTGTTCAAGGAAAGTGAGCAGAGAGCAGACGCAACAGGAAGTTGGTGGGGGTGGTCTCAGCATTGGGCCTTCCGATTGGCTAAGGATTTTCTATTTAGACTTACAACTTTCGTGCCTGCAACAGTAACTTAGTTGCTAAGGTTTTTCAACAGTAACTTAGTGGCTAAGGTGTTTCAATGGCAACTTAGTGGCTAAGGTGTTTCAATAGTAACTTAGTGGCTAAGGTGTTTCAATAGTAACTTAGTGGCTAAGGTTTTTCAACAGCAACTTAGTTGCTAAGGTATTTCAACAGTAACTTGGATGTGTGCTGAACCTTCAACGATTGAAAGAGGGCCTCGAGATTATGAATACGAATCCTGAGCTGTATCTAAAATACACATCCATCATTATTTATGTTTTTATTTTTTTGTATCACTGGTAACACATCCTTCACGAGGAGATTTTAGTTCGTATCATTTTGAAACGAGAGATGTGGCATCTTAATTACCGTTTGAAATTCTACATTCTGTATTAAAATGTAAATACGGGGGCTAAATGAGAGCACCGTGCGCTGTGTATGCATGATGTCTGGATCCGACCTCCTGGCCGTCCCTGTGTATCTCAGATCACCCTCGTCTTGATCGTCTCTTCGTGGCTGTCGGGGTCACATTGACATTAGGGCTCGAAATGCTGCTTGGATCCGAGAGTGCTCATGGTTCTGTTGTGAATGAACACACAAGCCAGCCCACTCCACATCCTCGCTCTCTTGCCGCCTCGGTTTAAAGTTCCTACGTGTGTAGGGTGGCCGTGCGGGTTCCCGCACGGCCACCCTACACACGTAGGGGGGGGGGGGGGGGTCAGACATTTGTGACGATGTGTGACGAGGGGGGGGGGGGTTGAAAAATGTGACGTCACATCAAAATGCGCAACTTTAAATAAATATAGACAACACGTTCTACTTAATTAAATATACTTTTTAATAAATGTTTTCTGCTACAACATCAGAGTGCAGCGCCACATTAAATACGCACGATAATGACAATAATTTAAAGCGATTTGAAGCATGTTTTATTTTCAAAATGGAAATATGGTTTTGGTGGGGGGGGGGGGTAGAGCTTTGTGACGTCATATTTGAGGGAAGGGGGGGGGTCTGACTTTTTGTGACGCCGTGTGACGAGGGGGGGGGGGGGGGTCAAAAATCGTCCAAAATCGCGTGACGTCATTTATGGACGACCTCTTGCGACACCGGGGCCTTCGCGTGGGGAGCTGTTGGTCTCTTGAACCACCGCCCTGGTGACGAGCCCTGCCAGCTGCGGCAGCTTGTGTAAGCACGGCGCGCCTGCGATAGCAGCAGCACGTGGGCTACGTACGGGGCGAAAGGTCAACATGCGCGCACTTACGTGGTGTGCAGTGCGACGTTCGTCGAGGTGCTCGTCACCACCTTCTTATACAAACACGCAGTCGCCGCCACAGTAGGACCCCCCCCCCCCCCCCCCCCCCCGCTTTGGTGACGCACGCTCGGGTGTCTGAGTGCTTTGTTGTTGTTGGTGATATTGTTCTTGGAGATTACGGCCTCCGCTGACTGGGGGTGAGCAGCCTCTCTTGAACAGAGGGGGTGGTGTCATCGCCGCCTGGCGCACCAGTCTAGTCGTGTTCGCCTGCCTAAGTTGTTGTGTTCGCCAGTCTTGTCGTGTTCGCCTGCCTAAGTTGTTGTGTTCACCAGTCTAGTCGTGTTCACCTGCCTAAGTTGTTGTGTTCGCCAGTCTAGTCGTGTTCGCCTGCCTAAGTTGTTGTGTTCGCCAGTCTAGTCGTGTTCGCCTGCCTAAGTTGTTGTGTTCACCAGTCTTGTGTTCGCCTGCCTAAGTTGTTGTGTTCACCACTCAAGTTGTGTTCGCCTGCCTAAGTTGTTGTGTTCGCCTGTTGAGGTGTGAACCAGCACCACAGAGAATGTTTATAATGATCATGTTTCTCTTCCAGACACAGCGGCTGACTGGGGGGTTGTTGTGCATGCGAGTGGATGTTTGAGAATGTGTGGCCGTGTGCACTATCCAACCCGTAATTATGCACTCACAGACGTTACTGTTATACAACTCTGTGCCTACAGGTGTGGACTTGTACGCTTGCTAACAAACATTATCCCACGTAATTCTTGTACACTTGCTTGCACGTGTACCCAGAGCTATAAATGCTCTGATAGTGACGTTGTCTTTGTGCTGTTCGCTTTTTAGCGTTCTCTGGTCTGACACTGGTGAGACCAGGCCCTCAAGAAGGCCGCCTCTGGTGTAGACCAATCGGTGTCAAAGACAATGCCCATTCATCACCAGAGCATGTCTTGTTTGAATGTTCACCACAAGGACAGTGTGTGGTTAATGCAGACACGATTCCTTGCAAAAGCTTTCCATTTGGTGTTTGAACATCTTAACGCTTTCTGTTTTATTGCCAGATAGGGTAGAATCTATTCTTATAATTTTTTCATACATTTGAATCATCTCACAAGCAACGGACACCACCGATGTAATATTATTGCAGATCACCAATTACACCACAATCGTGGCGTCGCTCAGATCATGTGACAAAGGCAGCCATCTCAGACTCCATACGAAGAAGCAGGGAAAACTGTGCACCAAATTAACATTTTCCCCCAGGCTGCACTCCACTTTACGATATTCTCACCGGAGCTTTTTGTCAATTGTAACAACGGCAAATTGCTCAAAATGAGGTGTAAAACTAAAGCCTATTTATGTGTTATTCCTTTGGAGGACATCACATTCGCGAGTCAACTCTTGCCGATTTTTTTGGTCAAATCCGTTGTCCCAATTCAAGGATTTCAGCATCACCGGTTCAGTGGTTTTGACATCGCCATTGTGAGCTCACCGAGCCATCTGATGCACTCATTGCTGAGCGATAACCGCAGGTATTGTGGACTATCGTTACTGATAGTTGCACGTAATGTGTAACCAGCAACACAATTCCTAAAGACTAACATGTATTAATAAGACATCAATGCCACGCGTGTGCACGCACATATACGCACGTGTTAACGCACACACACGCGCGTGCACGCACACAAACGCACGTGTGCACGCACACAAACTCATGTTTCGTTGAGTTGCCTCCAGAAGCTTCGTACTTGTCCACCATTGAATCATTTCCTAATCCTTGACCCTCATCCCCTGCGACCCTTTTGACCTGATCTCATGTCCTGCATGAACCCCACCTCCTCCCCCACCAATCACCACACCCAACCATCCCCTCCCATATCCCCCCCCCCTCCCATATCCCCCCCCTCCCATATTCTACCCCCCCCCATCCATTGCGCCTTTCCTCTCCCTCCCTTCAGTGGCATCTCATTTTGGGCGGTGCCGTTTTACTGATGGCGACCGGGGCCGTTAAACCACCGCCTCCCCCGGAGGCCTAGTATGGCTGCAGAGCGAGGACGGAGCGAGTGCCTGTAAGGGGCGGGGGGGTTGCTGCTGCTGCTGATGCTGATGCTGCTGCTGATGCTGCTGCTGATGCTGCTGCTGATGCTGCTGATGCTGCTGCTGCTGCTGCGTGGGGCTTGTGAGCCAGCCTGCAGGGAATCTCTCCTGGCCAGCGGCCGTGGTGGTAGCAGCAGCCTTGCATCTGCAGTCGACCAGTGAAACGTCCGATATGTTCACTAGCAGCCTCGCCAGGTTTCATATCCCCCCCCCCTCTTCAAGGCAGTTATGCTGGGGACGTTTGTCCTCTTGTTGGCATGTGGGAGTAAGCTGGGGTGCCAAAACGAAGGCCACACGTACAAATAGGGTGTCACGCTACAATGTAAAGATGCCTTCTCGCTGCACTACCTTAAATATAGAGGCACCTTGCCGTACTTGTAGGTGGATATCCGCACGCATGTGGTCCGCCAACCCTGCAATCCAAGTTTTAATGGATTGTAGGCACGTGCACCCCAGCACAAGTCCGAATGGCGTGTAGTTTCATCCTCCGAACTAAATTGTCACACGTTGAATAACAAAAACATATGTTGCCATGGTCTTCATGTAACTAAACCGGTACTCGGGTTTTCCTTGCAAAATCTAAATGTAACTTAAATCTGCCGTACACAATATTATTCATAAGAGGTTTTTGGGTTAGATCGCGTAAATATAAATTTGTTAAACCCGCCACCACCCGACACAGCCAACTAGTAAGGGTTGTCACGTAAACAGAACGTGACAATTCGTTACTAGTACAGCACTAACTGGTTGTGTGTCGGAGGGTAAATGTGGATTTACGTTACTAGTAACGAATTGGCACGTTCTATTTACGCGACAACCCTTACTCTAATTGGCAGTGTCGGGTGGTGGCGGGTTTAACGACACATTTATATTTACTAGATCTAACACAAAAACCTCATGGATAATATTGATCGCGAAAGCCGACTGCTGCCCCGTGTTAAACTCGCAATATTACTGTTGAACCAAGTTCTTGGTGTCTTTCCACCTGTAACCACCAGGTGTCCTTGTACACAGCTGAGCACTGGGTATTGCTCAATCTCCCATTGCCACATTTTTGGCGGTGACCAGGCGTTTAAAATAGCGCCACGCGCTACGCATTTGATCAGCCCCAGATGTACGATGGCTTCACAGGTGATGGGGTTAAACTTCTATATTATTGTTTAAAAAAAAGTTTAATTCCACAATCTGTATTTGTTGATCGCTTAAAATGTATTTGTGTCCACGTGTGGGTTTAATGGATAAATCATAAGCCAGGAGGGAGCCCACTTGAAGCAATGTGTGAATGTTTGCAAGGGAGACCCGAGTAGGAAATCAACACGCTGCTAAAGATAGGTAAATGGCAAATTAAGAAATAACTCCAATTAAAATGTTTTTTTTTTATAATGTAGTTTACAAGCATAAACATTACATTTTTAAAAAGGCATAATTAACAAATAATAATTATTTGTTTCTCCAGTTAGGCATGTTGACATTTGATCTAAACTGGCTTTGGACAACATAACATTACAATGAGCACCGTCTAGTACAGAATTTATTCGAGCATCGTAGGTACGTGGACGTTTTTTATTTTAAAAAGGTTAAATACACCCACCAATTGTGGCCACACATATAGCGGCTTGAGAAAAAAATCCCATTGACAATCTACGCGCAGTTGGTTCATTTACGAACCGTAACTTAACTCTCGGGGTAAACGCCTTGTTCACTATTCTTGGTTCTTTCGGTAAAGTCACATAGAAGGGAGATAATAAAATATAAATATAAAAAAATTCTCACGACGTTTCGACTGCAACACAAGCAATCATCATCAGGTGTGAAATCCACAGCAAGAAAATTTTCACTGTTAAGAGTGTGTTCTCGCACAGCTTCAATCGACACAAAATTGCAGAGTTCCTCTGGCGAGTGGCGGCAGTGGTGAGCGGTGATGGTGTCGAGATTGTAAGGAAAACCCTGCAATACAGCAAGCTTCTGTGAAACCCATTACGAACATGCCCTACACTGTTTGAGGTCTCACATTTATTTCCCTGTTTTCTGAAAAGGGAAATTTTAAGTGGTTGCACATTACACAAATCTGATCATTGGTAAAACAGAAATCTGTGGTATGATTGAAGGGCTCTGAATAGATCTTAAGAAACCCTCGTGTTGGTACACTTTGCACAGAGTTGGTGAAACAATGCTAAAAGTATTAATGTTTTGTAGAAATAAACATGCGGACATGAAAGGTTTATCCAGACCTGTAGTTTGATTACTGACGATAAATAACTTTCATTGACACATTGGTTTGTACAAGTAAGCGCTGGGCCAATATTCAGATGGATTAGCTGCGATTTCCTTTAAATTGTTTAATATTAGTAATCCATTTTCATGACAATTTGCTGAAGTACACAAAACCTTGTCTGGAGAATATATCGAACTCTAGTTTCATAAGGGGTCATTTACCTTTTATGGAATATTCAGATATATTTCGATGAAAAATTATGCCCAGAATAATATCTCAAATTATAGTTTTTTCCTCCCCACAAATTGCGATTAAAAATAAGTAGACAATGGTTATATTTGAAAGTAAAACCTATAAGAACAGGGTTTGCTCTTTCTGGTAATAAAACAGGGGGTGTTAAAATGTTAAAACCCCAAACAGAAACCTTTTTCAAGGAATCGTGTCTGCATTAACCACACGGTACTTGTTGTGAACATGCAAACAAGACATGCTCTGGTAATATCTGGCAGTGTCTTTGAAACTGATTGGTCCACATTTAGTTTCACTGGTCGAACACTGGTTGAGACTAGGCCCTAAAGAAGGCTTTCTCGGCTATAGACCGATCAGTTTCAAAGACAATGCCATTATTACCAGAGCATGTTTTTGTTTGCATGTTCACCACAAGTACGTGTGGTTAATGCAGACATGATTCCTTGCAAAAGGTTTCTGTTTGGTGTTTTAACATCTTAACACAACTGTTTTATTGCCAGAAAAGGTAAAATCTATTATATATTTTGATACTGGCAAGAATGGTCCCATGTTAAAGTAAAAAGGATTGCGTTAAATTATCTCCAGGCCTTCCCAGACGATTCATATTAGCATTTGTTCCAGCGACTTCTCTGCAAGTATCATGATGTGATGGGGGATGATGGTGGGTCCCTGCAGACTGAAGTTTGCTTTTTTTTTAACACAGCTTCATTCTTGGTCAAATTGCTCCGTCTGAGTTGTTCCCGAGGTCGTGCTTGCGTGTGAATTAAGAGTTGTAAAAAGAAAAAAATGCACTTGTACCATTTTTTGGTTTCAAAAAAATACTAATTTTCCCAGTATTGAACAAAGGTTTTTTGTGATTTGCAGTATTTTATTGTCCCCATAGTTGCAACGTTAAATATATATTTCCTAAGTCTCGGTACAGTTTGAACACTTTTGTCAAACCAAACGTGGGTATCGAAAACCGCAAATCAAATTTAAGGGACTGCATTGGCAGTGGCGTAGAAACACATTTGACATACTTGACTAAGAAGTTTGCATCATTTATATACTTTAGTATTTCCTCCTGGTGAAAACATAGGAAGGTGTAAAATGTGATCTGTGATAATACCAGTCTCCTGTCCTCTGAAAGACCATTGCACGAGAAATTTCCTTATTGTTATACATATTTTAACGTTATGAAGAAATATTTGTTCTTGGCGTTGAAGTGTTTTTAGCCATATAAATCCAACTCTGTCCCCCTGTTGAAGTGTCTACTGACAATTTGAAACAAACCTTAAACTGATGCAATAGTGCACTATGTAAGAATGTGGTGCTGCATGATTTGTGGAGGTGCAGGGGGGTGTGTGTGCAAGCCCAATAATCACCGGTGGAGGGAACGTGTGCGCGCGTATGTGCTCACTAACAACACTTGCTTGTACGGCTCCGAAGACTAAACACGAGATTTATGTTTGTTCGTTTTTCTTCACTGAAGGACTGTTGTGGCGATTATAGTGAGTGCACAGAATGATTATACTGACCCTAATTTGATTGCAGGCCACGATGCACTAAGCTTGTAGCATTCTATGTGAGCTTTGGTCTTGGCTTTCCCTACATCGACTCGGTATAAATGGACAATTGGTGGTAAGGTTTTGCGGTTAACGAACACCGCACTCGGGGTGATTTCAGCAGCTTCATACTTGATGGTAGCTTCACCAACATTCCATCGTGCAGCCTTAAGAGACACTCGCTAGAAGCACTTCACACTGCAGCGTGTCAGGGCAAATGGTGATGTATTTTTAAAAGTTTTACATTTGGTCAGAAACACCACTGCTCAGCCCCTACCTTCAGTTAATAAATTCCCCTAAATCTAGACTGATACAGCTGGCTTCAGAGTTTCTGAGTAATGCATACCACGTTCAATCTAACATTTGATGTTATCTTAGAAATAAAATAACCTGTTTTTAAATTGGCAAAAAATATCACGTTTGCTGATTAAACAGTTGAGTAGTGTACTTGATTCTATTCTGAACATCGATTGATTTGTTTAAAATCTGCATTTCGTTTCTACCTAAATGCTTTTTGAAAACACTCAAATATCTGCCACGTGATGGAACAAATAACATCTTCGAACAATGAGGAATGTGGAAGTGTTTAAATTGTGAACTTTAAAGAGCCAGCTGTATAGTTCGTCATGAACCTCTCTTTCATGAGGAACGGCGAATGGATTGGCGTGCATGACCGTAAACTCGCACATTTCAACGTTATCAAAATATTTCTTAAAACATGTTTTTTCAATAAATTTTGTTGGCCACATTGCTAGGGGGTGTGGGTACACTGTGTACTCTTGTTGAAATGAAAATTGCAATACAAGCCAAACACAATTTTGAGTTTGCATTTTTTCCAAAAAATTGCAAAGCAAAGAGGCAGTTTAATTTTCCCAGGGCCCAATTTTAATCTGGTATTTTTACTGCGATCTGAACATGTAGTCAAGTTAACCTTGCATTTAGACTCCATTCATTGCAGCCAAGAGCAGGGTAGTAATTGGCATGGGCAAAGCTTGAATGAGCTATGGCACAGCTGATTTGTGGTTCACTGGCATGACATGGTGATCTGTTGCATGTTTTGTGTTCTTGCAGTGGATGTACATAATCCCCATAGTGCTCTTCTTGATAATGTCGGGAGCGCAAGACCCCGGCAACCAGGGAGGCGGCGGCGGCGGTGGAGGCGGCGGCCGGGGATGACATCCTTTGCACTGCTCAAAACACTCGCAGCCATGTGCATGCACATCAGCAGACACCATCAATTCAGCCTGTGGATTCTGTGCAAGAATGTTTATACTCACGTGTTATAGACTTGATCATCATCCCACTCCAGATGTGCAAAACATGGATACATAAAAACTCACAAGATGTGTACACAATTTACACAACGGGACAGGCATTCAAATAAGTTCATATTTGGGCTATGACTTTAATTCGATTATGGATTGTTTTGTATTTTGCGAATGAGCCTTGCCAGCACTGAATTCAGTACAAGTAATACATACGACCCAAAATTGTGACAATTCATCGAGTCACAATCCTTCTTAATAAGAAATCTAAATTGTGAGTGAGGCAAGTTGTTACTTGCCTTCGAAACACGGCGACTTGCTAAAAATAGAGCAGTTGCAGACATGTACAGTTTCACACATGGGACACCATAAATATCCACGAGACCGGAAACACCAATTCACGCGTGTGTATACTCAAACATTTCAGGTATGTACACGTGTATATGCAGTAATGCGCACAAGACACCATAACGCATAAATGTGGACAACTGGTGGTAAACAGTTTAAGTCTGGATACAAATCTGATTCTGAACCTAAGGGTGTTTGCATATCCGATGGGCTGACAGTGGAGTCCCATATGATCAGGATTGTATATTTACTGTAAGCTTAACCAATGTAATTTATTAGTAATCTATATGAAGCAAAGTAATAAACTAAAATAAATTTGATGTGTTAATGTCCAGGCAGGTATGGAATATGCAGTAACCTTAACTTCCCTAGCATTGAAAATGTCTGAAAAAATAGGTGTTTTTAACTTCTGGAAAAGTCTGAATGGGCTGAACATTAATGATTTTTTTTACACTGGTGATAGCTTGATCAATGGTACCATACATAGTCTGATTCAGTTCCAAGATATCTGATTTCATGGCCGATCTAATCTGTTCTGAATAAACACGCAGACATCCAAACAAAGTCATTTACACATGTCCAGACATGCTGTTACTCAATACAATTTTAATTCTGTAAATGCACAAAACATGGCTGAATTATCCACAACAATTTAAAATAAATATCAATTCAAAACAGACTACAGGCATTGTGCATTCTTTTATAAACTTGAAACAGAACTTGTGGCATGGGTTGTGATGACCGAGAGGTGAAGGGTCATGTACTCGGCGGCATTCAAAACTGTAAAAGAGCTGTAATGATTTGAACGTGTTGAAAACGAGTAAACATTGCCTTTGTTAGAAAAGGCAGCTGCACATTAAATTTAAGACGAGGCATAAATGGCAATAGCCTGAACAGCAAAGAGAAATATTTGCATGAACAAACGTCACGGTTCAGTTCAGCGTGTTCATTTTTGGAGAAATGTCTCCAAATGGAGCGCTTCCCACTTGCTGGGCCAGGGCTCGCATGTGGCCAAAACCTTAAAAATCGAACGAGCTTCTTGGCTCAAATACACTACTGATTCTGAAGACACGAGTTCATAATGTGACTTCTGAATAAAGCACAGCACAAACTGCTAAATACTGTACGACCAACATTTCTAAATAGGAGTAGAGCTTGTGAATTGGTGTAAATGCTTTGATCTTTAATGTGTGTGTGTGCATGTTTGGAGTTCCTGTATGCGGTCTTTGAAAAGCAGGTTCGACTTTGGGTCAAAAAATCTGGCAACTCCAGCGGTGCTCGCAATCCACCACTAGCCCAACACACCAAACAATGATCGTGCCAACCTTAATAGGCGTTTCCCAACAGCACCCATAGGTCAGAGCTGGACTATCTGATTTGTGAATAATTTTATGAAGCCAAGTGTATGCATGTCTGAGAAGTGGGCTTGTACATATATATAAGCTATTGTATGCATTTTGGGGGAACATATGTCACGTGTATATATCTGTCACCATCTATATCTCACTAGCATGCCCAGTGTAGTCTAACATTGCTAGTGAAGTTGGTTATCGATGTTAACAAAAGGCATTTTATGAGGCCAAGCATATTGTGGATTCCCAAAATTCTGCACCACAGCCTTCCATAGACACTCACCTTTTGCAGGTCATTATGACCTGGCGTCAAACCAATATGGTGACACTGAATGCCCTGCACAAATGTCTGAATGTCCATGATGGACACCCAGAGCTATGTAGAATCAAATTTGAGGTGTGGGGGTTCAAAGTGCAGCGTGCTAACCACTCTTCCACGGCTGCACCGTGTGTAAATGTAATTATAGGCAATAATTAAATTAATTTATATATTTGAAGTATGCCAGTCATCCCCCACCAATGGAAGGGGCCTCCTACAAATTAGTCAAGCTTCAATAGATGTTTTATTTACTGTAATTGTAAAACATGACTTTGAACCCTTCATTTAAATAAGAACTTTAATGGCAAGGTGATGGGGATGCAGTATTTTTAGATCCACGATGTCGCCCTTCAACAGTTACTATCCCTGGCATGGGAAGCTTGTGTTTATCAAAATAAGAAAAAAACAGACCACTCCTCTGGATCCAAATGCCATCTGGCAGCATCCGAGACTGCGGACGTGCGTATGATGTTGACCTGTACTGAGCATGTGTTGATGCTATGTGCCCGAAGTGAGTCAAATGGAAAAAAAAACCTTGCAGTCCTCAAAAATTCCTTTAGAAAAACATTTTTTACTACTACCAGCATGACACTTGCAATTCGACTTGTGAATTTTAACTCGAGGTTATTGTGAGATTGATTAAAGCTCCGACTAGTTCTGGGTTCAGCTTGCAGTCAAAACTATGCTTTGTCCAAATCACTACAGATAAGGCCAGGATTTTTCTTCTTTCCCTATGTTTGTTATTTTTTGATATCTACATAAGCGTTACTATTTCAACAATCGAATTTCATGAAAATGTCACGCTAGTCATATTTGTTGTTAATGCGAGGTAAGTTTTTTGGCCACAGTAGTTCTCCTCACACCTCTCCTTACCTAGTACAACATGGATTGCAGAGACTTGCGCACACTTGCCATCTCTTGCTGTTGCTGCACACATCAACAGGATGCATGCACACACGAGTCACAAGATTCATCGCCTCCAAACTTGGTTAGTAGCAAAAATAATCAAAAAGAACACCCAAAAGCAAGACCTTCCTGAAAACGTCGCAATACGTCAAAGAGACTTCCTGGCTAGATTTTTCCAAAATGTATTTAATAAAGTCAATACTGTGTTGCCAAATAGAAAAGAACATTTAAAACCCGATACTAAATGTATGGGTGGGGAGGTCAACATTTTGATAGGAAGATATTTCAAAACATTACATTTACATGAGAAATCTAATATTTTAATCTCAATTACATACTAATTACATACATACAGTCCTGTAAGAGAAAAAGTGCAGTAAATGTTAACGATTACTCGATTGGAAATATACAGATGCGAGTGTGATCTGTATTTATGTTGAATATCTGTCAGTTCCAAGACCTTACCAATGCTTTTTATGAGAGACCAATGGTGCAATGTTCTGTGTACTGTACTATGATCCCTGCTATCTGCATTCAATTCCCGGCATGCCTGATAGCAGTGCCGAGTGATATCTGAACCAGTCCAAGCCTCCTCCATCAGTTCTCTGCACTGACCAGTGTAGCAATGAATGGTCACGCAATCCCAAAGACCGACAGTGGATAGATACCTTCATCCAGCAGTGAATTGACGAAGGGGCTGTAAACAAACATTGAGATCGGTGCTCATCTCCTGGTTCCAGCCCTGAATCCACATTGGATTTTCACCATTCCCGTGCTAGAGGCGACTTTATCCTTAGGACAGCCACCACTGTTGACTTCCCCAGAGTGGTACTTATTTTATCGACCCCAGAGGGACAATGGAGCAATCAAATCAGGTGCAAGGTGGATTGTTACATTGCAGCAGTATGAGAGATGGCAGTAGCTCGTGGAAACCTTCATCCAGCAGTAGATTCATTGCAGCTGATGTTACGTGACATGATACGTAATGTCATGAGACGTTGTCACATTCAATCATGTCACTCGTTGTGCGCATGCACGTAACGTTATCAACCTTGTCTTTTTTATTTATTGCTGGATTTTAAAAGTTTTGAACATCACTTTTATTAATTTGGCCGGATTTATTTAGGATATATCCCTCATAGCAAAACAACTTTTTAATAACATTGAATTTACATCTTTACGAGCGTTATCTTCACCCCCCCACTAAAGACAGAGCTAATGTGTTAAAAAGTGCATTTCGGTGCATCCCTATTTCATACAGTGACTCCATGCGAAAATGCCAATGATAGGGCCAGGCATTTATTGCTGTAGTTTTCTGCCTGGATAAGTGTTAGTTGAAGAGATAAAATAAGTAGTGAAGTGTAAGTACGGCATAATATGTAAAAGTCGATGTCAAATTGCTTGTGGGAAGTGTAACCAACCGTGTCCATGAGCAGCTTCTTCTGTAGCAAGGCCATATCCCTGCGCAGTTCACTCTGCACACACGGCAGCTGCTGGTTGTGGGAGCCCTCCAGGTCCTCCAAGTCCTGGGAATTAGAATCTTAAATAATCTGCAGTGGAACCAGGATCACCTGTGGTAGTGTAGGAGCATCGTGATTTAAAACCTGGACCATGACAATTGATTATATTATTTATGGGTCAATAAAGCACTTACTATTTGGAAATTATTACTCTATTATAACATTATAGTAAGGTCTCAGAGTACACGAGTTCAGAGTACACGAGTTCAGAGTACACGGACCCGCTCATACGCGACGGACCCCTATTCATACTTACACTTGTGACTCGTATTTTCGCTAAATGCACGGGGCGGGAAGCGAGGAGTCAAATCACTCCCTGCCATCACGCGCATGTGGATTTGATGGCGTGTAACTCGATCGCCCGCGCAAGAAACGAGTCCACCCAGCTCGCACCTTTTGTATTCATCATATACAGATTAGCGAATTATTTACTGTACAGTACTTTATTAAGCATTTATATTAATTTATATACTCTTACATTTTATATTCTACACTCGTATAGGCGAACCACAACTTACACGAATTTGCGCTTACACGGGAGTACATGGAATCTAACCCCCGTAGCATACTCTGAGACCTTACTGTATACAGCCCAGTTCGCTCGTGGAATTGAAAACATGGTGCAGAGATTATGGATCTGAACACAGGAATTACATTTTCCTGTTATTGTACAGTACACAGTTGCAATAAAAAATTATATATTTTTTACATTCGTGGAATACACCCAGGTTAATAATAAGTGCAGCTTTGCATTTGGGTGTTGATAGGTCTGGTTGGGGGTAAACAGGGTTACCCAGGACACCCTTACGAATCAGATGTTCCGTCTTGAGGGATTTTTCATGAAAAATATTTGAATTGATAAAGAAACCAAAAGCCCACGACAACTATAAGGTTGTGAACCACTGGCCTAGGTAACCACTGGTTTCCAGTTATTGGGTGTCCCATTTGAAATATCTCCAGGAAATTATCAATGGGAACCCAAAGGACGCGTGACCACATAACCACAAATATTCAATTTGACTCTACTAGCTGCTGGAGCACAAGGAAGAGGACAAAAGGGACAAGACATTGGCTTAAAGTATCATAATTCTAAGGGCCACCATAATGAGGATAAGGATTTTTTCTGCAGGACCTCAACAAATTGAGGATGATAAAAACGGAATTTTAGGAAGAGACAGCTCTGGTAGATAGCAGTAGATTAGGGACCGGCTCATTTTTGCCATTAGGGGAGTAAACGGGAGAGTTGGTAGTTGAGAGTAGAAGAGGGCCGGGAAACAAAGGCACATATAACCTTTCCCTCTTACAGGCACACACCAGTTCGTGCTGGTCACCAGTGGATACTTCAGTGACAGCAATATGTCCTCCAACATTGACCAACTTTGGAGGATGAACCATGGCTGGTGCTGCAAGTCCAGCAGCAGGAGGTGTCAAAGTGTACAATGCGGAAGGTTTGTCTTTTCAAGTGGATCGGATGATCTCTAAGATTCTTGGGAAAATAAAAAAGTGCTTTGTAGGTGTATCCTTTAGGTGGGTGCGTGAGGATTTGCACACGGTGATAGCATTCTTTATGACCACTGGGCTGGACCTACTCAATTGGGTCACCACACGTATGGGAATGCGAGTCTTCTTTTCACAAAGGATCCTCCTGTGATCAAGAAGTTTCAGGCTCCATTCATGCTTCACAATCAGGTATTATTCATGCATACTGCTACAATGTCAGTGATCTGTGCCTCTCCAAGTTCGACTCAGCCAAAAATAGGTACCAATAATGGTGTGCTCATAATCAGCACTGGGAAGATAAAAGGTGGCTTAAGTGTGGTGCTGGCTGTACCATGGTTTGGTGTGCCGTAACAGCACTTGCCTTGGAATTCTAGAATGCTAAATGTGGGGAACTTTGTGCTTCACAAAAAAAACACATCGCAGGGTTTTAAGCTCACGAATGACAACACTTTACACCAACTTGAAATTCTGGCCGATGGAACGAACCTTGATGTAGCGCTCGTGCAGCTCCTGGATGGACTTGAGGCGCTGCGCCTGCACCACACGTGCCTGCTGGAACAGCTTCTGTTGCTGCCGCACCATGTTCTACACAGTCAGGAGATGGTCAACTATGTACCTATAATGTGCCACATTGCAGCTGCCACTACATTATTTGCAATAAGACACCAACTCAACTCCGTATTGCTCTTAAGTTTACGTTAATTAGCTCTTACATGTGCAAGGTGCTGAGGATACTGTTTAAACTGGTTTCTCAAGCAAAGCCAGTTGAATGGTTTCAGCCTGGTCACCGATACAAAAAAATGCAAGCCAGAAGGGGCATTAGGGTATTGGTGTGTTATGGTCTCATTTACAAGAGTGCAACTTTGTTTGGCCAAGTGCGAAATCCGGCTAACTGAGGTTTTAGTAATTAACGTTCAATTCCTATAAAACTTATTTTAAAGGATTTAAACAGCGAAACATCCAGGGTATGAACAATCCTTTCACTGTCCACAAACTTTAATCTGTACAGTGTCGATACATATTCCTCCCAAGCTTTTTGTTGTGCACAAATGAAGGCCACATTTTTTTTGAGAATACAGTAAAACTGGAATTTGTCCTGTGGTGAATGCCAATTCGCGAGTACACAGGGTTATCCGTGTGGTTTCAATTTTCTGAAGGCATGTATTGGATATTCAAAACCCCTCTATGCTCTACATTAAACACAGCCCCCACAACCAATTACATTCTAACACCACGAAGGCTCCAAAATGTTACCAAAACACATCAGTTCGTCAATGTACACCGTCTTTCCCTCGCACTTGCAGCGCAGCCTCATGTAACCATGTACCCTATGCCCTTATCCCAACCCAGCCCACTCAGTGGCACCCCGCCCGCCCTGTCAAGCATTGACCTATTCTTTAGTGCACACACGCTGTTCTTCAGCCCGGAGGGATGTACTGTCGGAGGGGTGTACTGTAGGATCTTTGGATGATTTCCAATCAAAACCACAACACAATGCAAACAAAAGTGCCTTATTGTGCTTCTGAATGCAGTCTGCATTCGGTTGCAGTCCTGTGAAGTGTTAGGAATGGATGGCACAAGGAAATAGCCTTGGTAAAATAACAATACCCTTACACTGTGACCAAAAGGATGCACATATTTGTGTTTATTATACAGGAAGATAAGAAATATAGCTTTCCATTAAATGTTATGGTGAAGTTCCTTCCTAAGGCTCCACATAGACCCACCTATCACCTCCTCTCTCCTTATCAGTCCGAGTTCCACTTCCATCCAATAGTTTCTTCCCTTAACCAACTATAACACTCCCAAAATAATTTACCGTAAAATTTCCATCAACCTTGCCCTTGTATTTTACACCTCATCAGCATAACCCAACAATACAACTTTCCCTTCAACGCATATTGTTTGCTCCCATATTGCAAAAGTACAACCCTGCAATCGCTTGCTCACGTAACTCCTGGTGGGAGGGCCTTCAATAGAGGGTGCTCTAGGAAGCCACCTTATACGGTATTTTGACCTCATCTTCTACACTGGCCAGACATCTTGGAAGAGAGGGAGTACCAATACTTTACCCCACGACGCGTGACATGCCAATCGACTGTGGCGTACTTAAGTATACTTCTGGGTAGACAGAGGTGGGGGGGATTAAAGAAACGTGCTCATTGTTTCAACTGCCATACCCAGAGATCGAATCAGATCCATGACACTGGATTGCAAGTCCAGTGTGCTAAACATGACACCATGGCAGTATTTTACATATTATATTCCAGTATTTATGTGCATCATAAGAGGCTCAATAATTAAATGGCCAAATGCATTTTTTTTTTACCTGACAGCAGTATATTATAGTTGGGGTAACAAATCGCCTTCAAGACACAGACACTAATAATTATTCACAAAAGTGTTTTCCAAAATAAAAAGTACACGTAATGTGATTGTGCACATGATCACACAGCATGTGCATGATTGTGTATTAGACTGTAGGCATTTAAGACAGATATGAACATTATATTCATATGGCCCAAGAAATTTTAAAGTCTACTGCAGACTGGCAAATATAGACGAGCTTCAAACGCCTGTCTAATAACCTGGGACACATCGCCCAAGTGCACATCTTCTTTTAAGACGTCATATAGCCTTCAATCGTAATTGTATCTGTGCAAAGCTCTTTGATGTGTAGGTCTGGAATTATATACAGGGTTGCAGTAGTTAAACCTGTGACAGCTGAAAGCTCGTAGACTCTTCAGGTTACAGTTGAGTAACACGCTGATCCACAACTTCCACCCTTCCAACCATGAAAATGTTTCCGCTGCTTTATTAAATGTACAACTCAATTTATAATTTTGGTAATTTATATTTCAAATACCAGTGACTCCTTACATTCCAAAGTTAACTCTAATATTTGGTGACACAGGTTCGCAATCTATCAGCTGTAGGAATGGTTATTCACATGCATCGTTTTTATGTTTAAGACTCGTACAAGTACCCATAACTGAGCAACGCCCCTACCCCAACATCGCCTCCCCCACCCGTGCAACTCTTGATTACCCCCACAATGGCTATGCCGCCCTACCCACGCGCCCCCCCAAAGGTCCCCTAAGCCCCCATCCACGTGCCCACTTTGCCCCCCCCAGGCAGCCCCTCCCCTCCCTGGACGTGATATAAGGCGTTGGCTGCTACCAATCAGAATGCATGTGAATGACAATGACAGAATAAGGCAGGGTTTTGTTTGGATATGAAGATGATAGTCACCAGTAGAGCATTGTGTGTGCCGTTAACAGAAAAACAGCAATTCGGCCTCTGAAACATCTGGGTGGAGTTTAGGTGATTTTACGTCGTATGTGTGGGCCACGCAATCCAAATAGGACTGCACTAAAATTCCTGAAACTCAATAAGCTATCCTAAATAGATTTAGTATTAAAATTAGAATGCATTCAACACATGCAAAATGCACCTGTTTTGTATTCGTGATATGCTAAATCCAGTGTGCAATTTAAGATTGAGTGGAAATAACCAGGACTCATACATTTTTTTGAACAATTTTACTTAACCACTGATTGCAATTAAACATAACTTTTAAGTACCCACTCCCTCATCCCTGTCCTCTCACCATGAGCTTTTCTTCTTGATCCTTGGTCTTGTGGATATCATTCTCCCACTGCTGCAAAATGCCAAAGATTTGACGGCCAAACTCTTCGCTCACGTTATGCCTGCAATGTGTAAAAAAACATGCAGTATTTTTTTTTTATTAAACACTGGCAAATATACTGTCAAGTTGCATGCTTACATTGTTCACTAAGAACTGTATTTTTCTCAATTGAATTTGCCACATACCCACAATGCATGCAATGGTTACCCAGTGGATCAGCTCGATCACATGCTGTACTGCTTCCATAAACCTAGCTCAAACAACCCGGCAATCTATATTACTATTTCTGGGTAGGTTATGTCTCCTCTAGCAAAAGAGTGCATCGCTTGTGCAAAATGGGCATGATCCACAATGAGCAGGAGTCTCAATACCATTTCTGATCAAATGTCATCTCGATATGGTTCTAGCAAAATCACTGGTCCACAGAAGTGTCAACTCTTCAGGACCGAAATCACACCCCATAGGCAAGAACATTTCCTGAGTCACCCTGGATTTACATTGGCCTGCTGAATTATATCAGTTGACAAAACTACCTTGCTGAATTTCAATACATTATTCAGTCGGTTTTTCATTCAGGCAATTCTCCACTATAAAGTTATAGAACAATGGAAATACCTGGCTGGGAATCCTAAAACTGTACTGGATTTGCCCAGCAGATGAACGATGGTTTTGGAAACAAGGCCACGGTTACCTCTCCTGTTGCTGTGTTTTCCAGATGGTCTCTATCTTCTGGTTGCTGCTTTTGAGTGAGGCCTTTGTGAACATCTCCAGTCGCTTTCTCTTAGCCTGCACTGCTTTGCTGATGTCCGCTAGCATTCAAAATCATGCAGCAAGCACAGAAATACTCTTTTGATAATTCTTAATGCACTGATCACAGTGGAACAACCCTTTAAAAATAACCCTAAAAACATATGCACATTTAAAAAAAAATATAACTATCAATCCATCTTAAGAGTTGAAGATAAAATCAGTTTTTGCAAGACCATTTTTAATTTTATATATGTCTGTTCCCAGCTTGATTTAAGCTAGGCACTATCAAATTTTTGGAGTCAAAGTGAATATGACGATCAAAATGCACTGCTCGTGTCGTTAGAGCAATGCAAGTGCTCTTTCTGTTGGAAGCTATACCGAAAGCATTCAGTAAAACACTACTTTGCTAACTGGTCATCAGTCCAGCGATCAGAATGTCTGCGTTTTTTCCCCAATGTTAAATGACTACCTAATCGTAATAGGTAAAACAAGTTTATTTTGAGACTTCCCACATACAAGAAATGCCTTGATGCTAAACTCCGTTATATTGTCACAATGAAGCTGGTAACAAGCATTTACTTTCACAGTTTGCCTAATGGAATGCATGTTTTGAAATGTTTTTTTGCATGTGTATGTCATTGTACAGGCTAAAAGAACAGAGGCCGAAGAAGTAGATATGACATTCTCCTCTGTGATTGGAAACCACCCAGGGGAACAGGGTGGTAGGGGATAGTACCACTAAAACAACTGATAAAGTTGTGCTGTAATCAAAAGGATCATGGATAAATCTTAATAATCTGGAGTAACATAATATTTTATTTGGAGAAAAAAGTCAATGGGGGCGACAGAAAAATGTGAAGTTAAACTCTACTGCCCCTCATAATTTTGCGCTAAAACCCTGCGAATTATGGAGATGTTGGAAAATATGCCCTCATCCTCCCGTGGGAGATAAATGATAAGCAAGCCAAACAAACCCCTATGTGACATCAGTTGAACCCACAGGTTATGTGTTTAGGTGCAACCAATCCAGAAGTCGAAATGTCCCATAACAATAAAAAATAATTCAGGCACTGCATTGACAGTGGTTTCAATGCACAGGTTGAAATTAATGTAATCTTTCTACTGTATATATGAAATATATAAAGTGGGAGGCAAACAGTTCAAATATTGACTCTTCTTAAAAGCAAAACGTCAGCAGGGTAATGACATCTGGAGACGTTTACCAAGTGATGCATCAAAAATAGAAAACATGTCATAATCCTGTGCCTTTTCTGTTCTGAACAATTATTTCCCAAAACATCACTGTCATTGACATTGCAATACTACTAAAAATGTGAAAGCATGCATATGCATTGATTCTGCTTTCTATCATGGGTTGTCCTCGGAAGTATATGTGTGATAACAATGTAACCTTCAGACCCATAAAACAAGATGTTACCTGTAATTGTGGCCCCTAACCCCAGCCTAATCCATAGGCGTAGCTATGCTATAAATGCTGGCAAGGGTAGCAGGGAGGGATTTTTGCTAAAGCTTCCAATTTTTTTTACCTGGGCTTTTTTATAGGATTGTCCTGACCATGCTCTACCTCACCCTTAAGAGGCTTCTGGCACAGGATGCCAATTTTAGAGGGCTCTGCCTTAAAAACCCCTCTTACCAGACTTTAAATGAGTCAATCACTCACATGGCCTACATCTGTAAGCCCACTGGGAAACAAACCTTTGCCAGGGATAGGCCTTTCTGTCAGGCACCTGATATGACTAACTGGCTAGATAGCTCAACTTCCTTTGCAGGAACTGCAACTGAGGGGTACTGGGGTGGATGCTAGGAAGCCTTACAGTGAAGTCCAAAGTGCTTCAGGTGGTCATGCCTTGTGCTGAGGCAAGGGGATGCGTAATTTTCCAAGGGGCAATTTTGGCATTTCATGGTGGCCATTGTAGAGGAAAAAAGTGTGGTAAAAAATGTTGACAGCAGTTATACTAATTCACACATTTGATCAAGTATAATAATTACGTTTTATATATTGCCTTTCATGAGATCTCAAGGCACTTTACCTCAATGACAATGGGAGGGGTAAGAAGTTTTGAAGTTCCAATAGCAAATGTAAACTGCAATCCTCATAGCTATTCATTCAAAACTAGTTTAGAAATCTAACATTTTACATCTAAAACTCTATACTCTTTGGTTCTTTTGATAAGTCACGTAGGTATAAAATATAAAATAAAATAAATCACGACGTTTCGATTGCAACACAAGCAATCATCATCAGGTGTGAAAACTACGGCAAGGACATTTTAACTGAAGTGGGAGAGGTGCTGTGGTAAGAGGTTATATAAGAGAGGGAGAAGGGGCAAGGGAGGGAGGAGTAGGGGGAGGGTCGTGTTGCGTGGATGCTGCTGCTGGACGGGGGGGGAGTGGGCAGGGCTAGAACAAAGCCACAGTAGCAGCACTGTCAAACGTTAGGGATACAATTGCATCCCTAACATTTGACAGTGCTTTGTTGTCTTTCATTGGTTTTGCTGCGTGGGCTTCGACCATAGCACCAAAGGCTTGTTGTGGTGTTATGACAGGGATTTTACTACTGTAGCGAGGTCTTGACCCAATCACGTACAATAACATTTTATATTAGAATTGTTAATTTCTAAAATAAAAGTGTGGAATTTGGCTGACAATTGACTGTGGTCTAGAGTGTACTTGTTCAGAAAAGACAGCTGGAGGTCCATTGAAACTCTGAAAACTACCAGATCCCACTGAACTATATGGGCAAAAAAATATTCCAGTCGAATCATGACTCAAATTGTGACAATTCATTGACCTGCAGGGAGATGAATATTTAAATGGCTTATATGCATACTGTTATAAAGTCCCGTTGATTTAATATATTAGCCCAATTGCATTTAATTACAGGAGACTACATGAAAATATATTTTGAAATAATTTACATTGTTTTTATTCCATTCTAAAATTAATCTAGTCATTGCTTTTAGCAGATAAATAATGTTATGCCCACAGGTTGCTTGTTTTAATTAAAGCCTTGATGGTTTTAGACCACTGGAGGCATCTAGATTTTGTTAATGTCTTTAAATTATATACATTTATTCCATGTTTAAATGAAACCAGGCATACTTACAGCTAAATCGTTCCAGCATCGATTGCACATCTCCCCTGTAATACAAGCACACTTTTTAAACCATGTAAAATACTGTACATCACAACAACTTGTAAAGTATCTTACTTGCAACACAAAAAACTCAAACTTATAACAAGACCAAGATTAAACCACAATTAAACTATGTTTGTTCTGGTTCAACAACATTAATTCTTGGATTTAACCTCTATCACACTATTGGCATCTTCATTTCATCATTCTCATTCCAATCCACCAACACTGCCCTATATACACATATTCTGATGATTTCAAGTATTGTCCCTCTTCAGGTGTGGATTTATCTTGAACCACTTTGCAGGCTTGTTTATTAAGTTTTTCTATATTTTCCTGTAGTTAATTTACATTTCTTTGTACATTGACTATGCCATCAGAAATACTGCAATGGCTAATATTTTCTCTGCTTATTTTTATGCATTTATTTCTCCTATACAATTTTAGGGAAATATCTTCTCATGTTGTTGTATATAATAATGGCAAAAGCCTATCTCATTGTCCGAATCTTTTAATATGTAATGTGCTACTTTTGCTATGCACTCTGAATGCAGCGATTCCTTTTTTGTAAATAATAGGTAAAAAATGTATTTGTATTTAGGCTTTGGTTGAGAGCTTAGAGGACTCAATAATTTTTTACCGATTGGTAGTATGTGTTCAATAGTAGAGAAACCTTGCCTAAATCCAACTTGCTCATGTGGTTCAATAATTCTGTTACAAATGACCATCGTAAATATTTATATCGTGAGGAAGAGAATGTATTATGTTAGTCAATTTCATCACCATTTATAATACAATTAGAGGCATCATTTTATGATTGAGGCATTTTATTTTTCTATAAACACATTAAATAGATCCACTAAATTTGTTCCAACTGATCCCAATAAGTTATAACACCTGCCTAGGTGCATTCACTTTTTCATACTTTAAAGCAGATTTCTCTTCTTCGAGTGCGACATTTTGAACCTCATCTATAAAATGGTTTTATGCTTGTGATATTTTATTATAAAGCTTTCAACAAAACGCCACCATTAATTGTATCTATCTGTCATGTGTTATAGCTCCATTTTTATCCATATCCCCCACCTCAATGGGCAATGAAGCCAGAATTTTGGAGAACATCACATTACCTGCCCATGCAAACCATATTACAATTCATTGCTATACCTCTCAATATGACCAATTTAAAGAGCTTATTCTGTCCGCCTAGTCTGTATGGGTGTGAGTGTAGCACACCCGACATTGGCTTCTAGTGTGTCAGTCTCTTCGTCTGGCTCAGCCACGTCAGCCATCGCAAGCGCAGGAGCCGCTCGCTTTTGTTTCTTACGCGATGACCCCTGTGGCTTTTCATCTGTGTTTGCACAAGGTTAAGGGAAACATACACGGTACACATTACTGGAAGGCATCATCAGTGAAACAAACACACGTAACGTAATTGAAACAAACATGTTAGTGCTATACATACACACCATGATGGGAGACAGATGCGTAAGTACATCTGCGAATTGTACATACACTGTTCGTGGAACCTTTCACTTGAGTATTCATATTCAATATCACGATTCACAAAATATTTTTTGGTGAGGCCACTTATTGTTTCGACCAAATGTGTCGTGAATAAAAAAAAATGTAACTCTCACATTCACAAATGGTCTAACATGCCAATTATTAGTTTCAGCTCTACGGTAAGTCAGAACCTTTTTTTTATGGATGTTGAACTTCTTTCGCACAGTACGTAGCCAACATAGCAAACCGCGCTAATCAGAGGTGCGATGAGCTATAAAGCTTGTTCACAGATGTCCAGTAGTTGAACAGCAATTCTCACAACCAAATTATCAATAGCTATGTTTCATTTGGAAATATGCCAAACATCATCAGGGAAAAGATCCTGAGCTTCAAAATATACACGTGACAATTTAATGGTTTGGCTGCGTTGGCTGGAGGATGGTTCAAGACACTTATTTAGTCAGATCATTACATGGCCCATCACAAAATCAAATATTAATTGCTGTTAGTGGAGATAATACAAAAATACAACTTTCACATATAAAAGAAATAAAAAATCCACATAGTAAGTTATATGACATGACTATAATCTTTTTTTAAATAAGCAGAATTTTGCAAACCAATAAAAAATAAATGTTGTTCTAACTACAACTGAAATTTAAGTACATTGAGGTCCATAAGGGCTCTCAGTAGATGAAGATGGCCAATAACTTTCTTAAAATCCCCCACTATATTAACAGCCTTTCGAACTCTCCGTACATAAATAGATGAATTATACAAGTCAATGATCAAACCCAAGAACCTCAGATTAATGACCCTGAGGAATCCCCCGAGTGCTCCCAAGCCCACTCGGACCTCCGGAAGCGCCTCTCTGCAGGTCATCGTTAAAGTCGCTGTTCTGGAAGTTGTCTTGCGTCTCAAAGTCGTACACGTTGGGCTGCACGGCCCCACGGCTCTTGGCGGTTTCTCTCCTCACAACCGCAGCCATTGCTTTCGTGTCCCGAGTTGAATCAGCGTCACCACACAAACACACACACGCGCGCACAAACAAATACAACGCAACTCACATCATCTCAAGTCAATAATTTTGGGGCCAACCTGTTCACACGTTCCAAAGCCAAAACATTTTGCATTTTACATGCCACGAACCTATTCATCACCAGGGATGCATTCTGAATTGTACAGGGATGCATTCTGAATTATACAGGGTGTTTCAAAAAGATGGACCCAATTTCAAGGCAGTATATTTCACAATGGCAAATGTTACAATTACACAAAAAGTTACAAACGATTAATGAGTTATCAAGTTTTACTAATCATTTTTTAAAATGCTCTATGTGCCTTCCACCTGCTGTACGGACATTGAGACGAGAGTTGAATTCATCCCAAACGCCTCTCTTCTCACATTTTTCTCTGAGGTGCGTGGTCGCCCTGTACTCTTCCCCTTACATAAACAGCCTGTTTCCTCAAATTGTCGGTACCAACGACGAATGCCTTTTGACATTGGAGGATCAATGCCAAAACGCCATTGAAACGCACGCTGCACCGCAATTATGGATTCAGTCTTGCTGAACTGCAGAACGCAAAACGCCCCTTGTGTTGTGGGGTCACCATCTTGCGAATGACTGAGGCTGGGGGCTGTTTGTGTGCTGAGAAAGGCATCTCGCGGTCATCACTTTAAACTCTATGCCCCGCCCTTTCAAGTGGTAAGAGTTTTATTCATGGGCGGTTCGTGGTTGCAGAGATGTCGCGATTTCAAATCGGGCGCATCCTTTTGAAACGCCCTGTATTAAGTTTGATCCAAAGATTGGCCGAGGAAAACACAATTTCTTGTCAACCAAAAATCACGATTCATATTAATCTACAAAGTAATGTCACAACATAGTGATGCCATTTCTATTTTACGTGAAGACATGGTATTAGAATATTACTATAGAAGTGTGTGCTTGTGCGTAATTATGTGTGAATGTGTCCTCATGAGCATGCGAGTGTGACTGCATGGGCTTGTGAATGCAGGAGCCTCATGCCACCAACGACGGCTACTTCAAATCTTGCATTGGCATTATGCATCTATGATTTAGTAGTTTGAAGGAAAGAGTTGGTGGACCACAGACAATTGTGATGAAAGAGTTGGTGTATACAATTTGTAACGCAAGGGTTGCTGGATCACAGATTTGTGATTAAAGGGTTGTGGCTCGGAGATTTGTGATTATAGGGTCGTGGATAAGAGATATGACACTTTAAACTCTGCTAGGGTTGAGAAGTGTTGTTGGCTGGTGATACAGCACATGGAGCGGATTTGTAACCATGTCTATACAGCGGACGACGTTTTTAGCATTCTCTTTTAAGAAAAGTGGGGTTATCTACACTCTTAGGTTTTTTCAGTAAAGTCACGTAGGTAAAAATAAAAATAGAAGAGTATTAATCCTTGCAGTCACGAAAGATTCAAATCTGGGTTTATCTACATTTTTCATTCAGTATTTCAGTTTCCACCCACACAAATAAAAACACTACGTAAAACACAATCACGTTTAAGGAAAAAACAATCACGTTAAAAAAAAAAACAGGAACTTTGTGAAAAAATATGCCGAGATTAAATGATTTTTTTGATACGAAAATCTAATAAATACATTGATAAAAACGATTGTATAATACTTATATTAAACTAAATTACTTAAATGTGAGGAAAGGGGGATGTTAGTGTATTCACTACATTGGAGAACACGACATGTCCAGACATTAATGATTACATTTACACCAAAAGTTTATGGGCACTCCGTTCTCCATTACATAACCTGTAAAAACAAAATTCAGTTTTACATTATAGTCTATGGACATCCTTTTATATATTCTGCCCGTCCGTTTTAGTTTATCCGTCGAAAATATCCGTGGAATATAATAACGTTGAACCCACATCCACCTCGGTTAACGCGTGAGGTAAACCCGTGAGGTAAACTATTACACAGATCACTGAAACAATAACCCCGCGAATGCCACGTACCGATAAGAAAGGCGAGAGAGTTCCGACGGAGATGTAAGCGAGTTTACTTGGCCTTGAGTGCCGTGGAGGACAACGACGACGCGGGGAGGAGAGGTGAGAGGCGGCGTTGTCGTAGTTTCCTCACGACGTCAACGCGGACGGATACACTCGCGTCGTGACACCGAGAGCTTCAGCAAAAACACAGCCATTCTCATCCAACAGCCGTGAAAGGACAAGCTGCCACGGCGGCGACCCGACAAACACAAAAAACTAAAACAATGCCGAAATCGCAAGTGATGACAATGAGTGGTGGCGCAGGGATTATTTTGTTGGCGCGGACGTCGCCCACCGCCGTCAGTGTGGCGCTGCACGGCGACGTGGAACTTTCGCGCCGCGGCGATTTTGCCGCCTCCCCTTCTGATTGGTCGGTCACGGGCACGTGACGCCTCCGAGTCGTCTCACCTTGCGCGGGAGTCAGGTGGCTGGGACTAACGACGCAGACACCGGTCACGTGCGGACACCGGTCACGTGTTAGAGACGTAGATACCGGTCACGTGCGGACACCGGTCACGTGTAGACACCGGTCACGTGTTAGAGACACAGACACCGGTCACGTGTTAGAGACGCAGACACCGGTCACGTGCAGACACTGGTCACGTGTTAGAGACGCAGACACCGGTCACGTGCAGACCAGTCACGTGGACCACAGCCACAGCACCACCAGTCGCCTAGACCACAGCTACAAGGCCCCTGGTGGCCTAAACAAACACGTTCCTGCGGAGGGAGCTGGTAGGAACGTTGGGTTGCTCGGTCAATGGCCTGCAGGGTCAACGGCGGCGTGGTGTATTCCGCAAATATGTCCGACTGTGAGGGCGGGCACAAGCCGGCGTGAGTAGGTGAAACGTTGAGTTTTATAAGGACACCACGGGGTGACCAGCCCCTCCCCACCCAGCCCCACCCCTCCCACCCCTCCCCACCCAGCCCCTCCCCTCCCACCCCTCCCCACCCAGCCCCTCCCACCCCCCACTCAGCCCCACCCTCATCACCCAGCCCCTCCCCACCCAGCCCCTCCCCATCCTCCCCTCCCCACCCAGCCAAAACCCTCCCATTTTTGGATGCACGACGGACGGACACAAGAATCCCCTGTGGGCTGGTGTAACCAGGAGGTTCCTACCAGTAAAGCACAGGTCCTCGAGTAGCCACAGCTATAAATAGAGGGTCACCAGTGATCTCAACTCTATCCGTAGAGGCACCGGTGATCTCAACTCTATCCGTAGAGCTGATCTCTAGGCCACACACAGAGCCATCATCAGCGAGCTCAACTTTTGACTACAAATCCGCCAGCGAGCTCAGCTGCGACTGTCAAGTTCTGTGTTACCTGCAAAGACCCGGAGCGACTTAAAGCTAAACCCTCGCTCTGCAAGGCCACGGATGCCCAACGTAACGTGCTGGTGAGTTTCCGTCGGAATAATCGTGGTTGTTATTACGTGCAAAGCAGCAAGACATCCTGGAACTTCGTTCTCTTTTTGTTAGTTCGTACATTCAAGCGTCGGTGGTCCAATGGTTCCCACAACGACGTTGTTGACCCAACGTTGTTGCTCCAACGTTGTTGACCCAACGTTCCTCCAACGTTGTTGGCCCAACGTTGCTGGCCCAACGTTGCTTCAACGTTGTTGGCCCAACGTTGTTGGCCCAACGTTGTTGGCCCAACGTTGTTGACCCAACGTTGTTAACCCAACGTTGCTCCAACGTTGTTGGCCCAACGTTGCTCCAACGTTGTTGGCCCAACGTTGTTGGCCCAACGTTGTTGACCCAACGTTGTTGACCCAACGTTGCTCCAACGTTGTTGACCCAACGTTGTTGACCCAACGTTGTTGGTCCAACGTTGTTGACCCAACGTTGCTCCAACGTTGTTGACCCAACGTTGCTCCAACGTTGTTGGCCCAACGTTGCTCCAACATTGCTCACTTTGGCAAGGGCCGGCAGTGTGGGCACGACGGGAAGCCCGCGGTGGCGATGACTGAAAGAGCCCGAGTCGTCGTCGGCGGCGTTGTGTTGTGCTGTGCTGTGTTGTGCTGTGTTGTGTTGTGCTGTGCTGTGTTGTGTTGTGCTGTGTTGTGCTGTGTTGTGTTGTGCTGTGTTGTGTTGTGCTGTGTTGTGCTGGGGGTGCTGTGTTGTGTTGTGCTGTGTTGTGTTGTGCTGTGTTGTGCTGTGCTGTGTTGTGTTGTGCTGTGTTGTGCTGTGCTGTGTTGTGCTGTGTTGTGTTGTGCTGTGTTGTGCTGTGCTGTGTTGTGCTGTGTTGTGTTGTGCTGTGTTGTGCTGTGCTGTGTTGTGCTGTGTTGTGCTGTGCTGTGTTGTGTTGTGCTGTGTTGTGCTGGGGGTGCTGTATGGTGTTGTGTTGTGTGGTGCTGTGTGGTGCTGTGCTGTGTTGTGTTGTGTGGTGCTGTGCTGTGTTGTGTTGTGCTGTGTTGTGCTGGGGGTGCTGTGTTGTGCTGTGTTGTGTTGTGCTGTGCTGTGTTGTGCTGTGCTGTGTTGTGCTGTGTTGTGCTGTGCTGTGTTGTGCTGTGTTGTGCTGGGGGTGCTGTGTGGTGTTGTGTTGTGTGGTGCTGTGTGGTGCTGTGCTGTGTTGTGCTGTGTGGTGCTGTGTTGTGTTGTGTTGTGCTGTGTGGTGCTGTGCTGTGTTGTGTTGTGCTGTGTGGTGCTGTGCTGTGTTGTGTGGTGCTGTGTGGTGCTGTGTGGTGTTGTGTTGTGTTGTGCTGTGTGGTGCTGTGTTGTGTTGTGCTGTGTGGTGCTGGGGGTGTCACGTTACTACAGGCGGTGTTGTGCTGTGTTGTTGTGTTGTGCTGTGTGGTGCTGTGCTGTGCTGTGTTGTGTTGTGCTGTGTTGTGCTGTGTTGTGTTGTGTTGTGCTGTGTTGTGCTGTGTGGTGCTGTGTTGTGCTGTGTTGTGCTGTGTTGTGTTGTGCTGTGTTGTGCTGTGTTGTGCTGTGTTGTGCTGTGTTGTGTTGTGTTGTGCTGTGTTGTGCTGTGTTGTGCTGTGTTGTGCTGTGCTGTGTTGTGCTGTGTTGTGTTGTGCTGTGTTGTGCTGTGTGGTGCTGGGGGTGTCACGTTACTACCGGCGGCAAGCGACGAAGCGAATCTCCTTGGCGCGCTCTGTTGTGCCTCGCATCGGGGCACTGCTAACGGTGCATTCGATTGTTGTTGTTGTTTTTACTACAGAAATAACGTTTAAAAACAAAAAACCCCGTTTCTTTTGAGAACAATTGCACGTGTTTTCCACTTACAAAGACAAAGATCGCCCGTGTAGCCTTTTAATAGACTGTTGGGGCAAGTGCTGTTAGCGAGCACCTATTAAGGCCGGAATGGTACACGAGGGGGGTGGGTGACCAGCACCACGCCCGGTCGACCTTTGTCTCCCCAGTGGCTATATTTACACACCACTGCACCAGTTTCTCATTTGCGTCTGAGTCGACCTCGGGGAGGCCCATGACCGGTTCAGATATAATCGTCACTGGTGTTGGCCGTGAGCGGGAATCGAACTCAGGTGGCCGGTTTCGCTAACCGCTGCATTTTTCCACTTAAACCACCGCAATACGTGCTGCTTAAGAGGAGTAATGCCAACTCCACAGTCGAATTACAACCACGCATTGCGATGTTGCCTTCAGTAACTCGTCAAACAGGTTACGTGCTTTCTTACAAGACGACCAACAGCCGCTTCGCGTGATGCATTACATGGGGACGTTCTATGTCTTATAGTACCGCGTGTAAACTACCCGGCAAGTTCAGCGTGGGCTCAAGCAAGCCGGGCTGCTGATGAGAAGACTCAATGCAACGTTCACTTTCACGTGAAGAAACGGAGATCTCAAGGGGTTGGTATTTGTATTGTCATGAACAATCTGTCAGAGCGACGCCTCGTGATGATGATGATGATTGTTGTTACGTGGTCGGTGTTTACAAGGAGTGGTGGTGGCATTACCCGGGTTGCGAACTTGGAGTTATGGGCCATCCATTGGGTCGGCAGCAAAAATCTGTCACAACTTGACCCCCCCCCTTCCCTGTACGACTTCCTACAGCCCCCCCCCCCCCCACCTGGGCACGTTCGCCTGACCCCCCCCCCCCCCGCCACCCCCCGAATCCTATAGAACGGCCGATATTTAATCCACGCAGAAACGATCAAGGATTAGTAATATAATATTCACGTTGTTTAAGCAAACAGATAGTCCACCGCCGGACTATCTAACTCATTTGAAGGCCAATGTAGACAAATTATTATCGAGGCCGCCCCCCCGTTTCCTATGCGTACATTGTCAGTAGACCCCCCCCCCATACGCAAGCGAACGCATTTGGGTGAACCCCCCTCCATGCGTCCGTACTAAGTGGATGACCCCTTTGCTTCTGACCTGTAGCCTGAGGTTAGGCCGTGAATCACCGTCGGGAATCAAGAGCAGAGATGTTTCCCTTTGCTTTGTTTTATTTACCAGGTAAAGCCCACGGAGCTATTAGCGCATTGACACAGACGATTTGGCCAAACGTGATAGTTCATCGAAGTGGCTTATATCATAAATAGGAATTCATAGCAGCCAAATAATCTAAGCGCACGTTGTCTAAATGTGGAGGGCAAAGCCGCAGAATCTGACAAAATAAAAAATTAACCCGTAAAACAAAGTTTTTCACTATTAATCCTTTATATGCGTGGCATCGGTTTTATTTTATTATTCATTTCTGTTTTTCTTGAGTAAGAGTTTCATTTTTATCACATTGGTATTTTAAATTAAATATGAAATTTTTGTTTTCCTAAAAAGTGGAAAATTTTGGAAATTTTTTCACAAAAATAAATTGTCACGCACAACGAGTCTGTGTGCAAAATGTCAGCTCGATTGGATCACGGGAAGTGGGTTAAAAAACGACCGAAAGATTTGCACGGTCGTAAGCGCGCAAGCAAGCAAGTGAACTTAATATAAAGGATTTAAAAATACATGCGACCACAGGGAGAACATGCAAACTCAAAAGACAGCACACAGAGATGGTTATTTCACTTATTTTAACACTGGCGTTAAAACATTGTAATAGCTGTATTATTAACGTTAATGGTTGATCTATTATCAACTTCTATTTCTCTTCTTCCTTGGTGGGGTCACCTCAAAATCTGTTGTTTACAAAACCCGACCAAGAACCCCGATTTAATTCAGACGAAACACAATTGGTGAATGTTCAAATATTACATCCGTAATCTTTAAATGAGTCCTAAACGCATTGCAAGATAATTCATGCGTGAATTAATGTGAATGGAATTCGGCTTCAATCATTTGTTAAATAAAGCTATGTGTCCTGGCTTTTCGACCACCATGTATTGCAGGCATCGTCAGGGTCGGGATCACACCCATGCCCTCCCGCACACAAAGCAAGGGAGATAAGATCTCCTCATGCCACGGTGTCCCCAGTACCCG